GATGAAATGAGCTGCCATTTTTATAGCTCAGATTCAGAGTAATAAGACTTACGGATTCAAAATGCTGGGGTACCTCCCATTGTGTGCTGTACTTCTCTTTCTTTTAAAAGTGTTGGCAGTCAGGTTTTGTCAGAGAAAAATACTATATTGGCACTATATTGGTAAATATTAACTTTGTAGTATATCTGTTGAAGTTCTAGTAGAATAGCTGAGAATGTTATCTGTGTCTTCTGGTAGTCTTTCTCAGACGTAGGATGAGATTTTTATATCTGAATTATTGTAACCATCATTATGTAGGTAATAAATCCATAATAAAATTCAAAGTAATAGCAACTATATAGGTATCTTATTTGTACAGTGTGCACTTGTAGGAATGATCAGGGAATTCTTTCCAGTTAAGCATCTTAAAATTTCACACTTTATACAGAATATTGCACTGTTTTCATAAGTGCTTCTGTCTATTCTATGAAATAAGAACATCTCTAAGCTACCAATATAACTTATCCATAAGATCTACCACATCCCAGTCTCACTTTGATCCTCAAACAACCCCATAAATTTTGTCTAAGCAGCAGCTTTGGCAAGGGCTAAACAAGTAAATATAATTGTATCACTTGTGTTACAAGGCTTGTGCTAATTGACCTTGCTAAATCAAAAAGCCACTGCATATTCTGATACATCAGTTCTAATTTGTAATGATTGACCAGTACATTTCTTCCTCATTGAGTCTGAAGAGTTCCTTGTTTTAAATTCACTTTAAGAACTTGTTTTAAGTGTATGATGTGTTTAGGCTTTCATTGTTCTCTCTCTCTCTCTCTCCCATATCATCTTGATTTAGGAAGTCATAAAGCAATTTCTTGCAGCATTATAATTGAAAAAATACTGTGAACCAATATTTTAGATGATTTCCTACAGGTATATCCGTAAGACTTCATATTAGAAAGCCCAGCTCCTGAGAGAGTGGTGTTATGGTGCATTTGATAATGAAATCGTTTGATGTGTGTATTTGTAATATTTCCTGGTAAAATTATTGTACTTTAACTTGATTTCATGAGAAAATGGAAGCATCTATAATTATTTGCTTCCAGTAACAATTGTTTGCTTGCAGTAACAATTGACATTTCCATGACTGTGTAAGACATCCTATTGTTAAAATCATGCATCCAGCTTAGAAAAAAAGATTTAGGTTTCCATTCTCTCTTTTTTTTTCTCTCTCTCTCTCTCATGTCATTGACCACTTCTTACTATATCTTATCATGATTGGAATCATTTATGTTACCTGGAAGCCTTAACCTACCACACACTTCTTCAATCAAAAAAAGAAATAATCAAAACATCTGATGAGTTAGCACCAAAGGGTCGTCAAACATTTTATACAGGTTTCATGGGAAAATATTGGGCTTACTACAATCACTTTTCATGGGCTACAATCTCTTTTAAGATAAGTCTAGATAGCATAAATTGCCATATTATATTCTCAAAGCCTCTGATGTTCAGATTTCATATATATTATACAAATAAAGCAAAACGCATGTCAATTTTAATATCTTAATGTATTTGCCCTGAACATATATCACTCAGGGCTATAGATACAATCTTATTTTACATATCATTGTCATCTGGTAGATATGATTATTCAAACAAGGAATTTCAAAGGAAAAAGCCACCGTAAATGATGATATTTAAGGCATACTGCACTTAATTCCACTTTATTGAACATCTTAATTAATAATATTAATAAAATACAATCTTGCAATGGATTTTTAACAACTGAACAAATTTTATATACAGAAAGAAATAATTGTTGATAATATTTTCATCAAGTTGAGTCATGTACTTGTAACAATTGAGTCTTGTTATCTTGCAAAAATGGAGTTCTGTATGCCCACCTTTTAATTGACATTTTGGAAAAGTTTGTATAGCTATCAATAGTAATAAAAACCATAGCGGTTACAATTAATGACATTATTACATCACAATTAATGGTGATACTGATACCGGGCACACAAATAAAACCTTTCCTATGCATTTCAGAGAAAGAAAAAATCTCCCCTTTGGAGGCATAGAAAACATATCAGGTTGTTTTTCTTCATTGATTTCCATACCCTAAGTCTTCAAGATCCCCTGATAACCATTCCTAGAAACATTCTGGATTAAACTACCCTGTACGCTGTAGGCCTGCTGAGGTTTTCTTCTGACAGTTTGGGCCAATACTTGGGGACATGGAAGCTAATCTGGTTTGAATGTGTTATAAATCAGTTGCGATAGAATCCCCCGTCAGTGCTCAGTGGCCTGGGTACCTGTACCAATAATATAGCTATTGATTAGGGGCCTTAATGTATTATTAAGGTGCACCTGCCCGTTTCCTGCTCGGAAAAGAAACAGGAACTCTGTCCTTGTTGCAGGATATTCTAACTTCTTTAAAATTCAATAAATAGTTCCCATTGAATGGAACTTCGGAAATTGTTCTATAGACATATGTTGTTCACTGTAGCAAAGAGACGAACCAGTACAGTGTGACAAACCTTTATTGATGATTAGTATTCAGAATCCAAAGGTTGGCACAGAAAATGACAGTGTCTTTTCAGCTGTATTTTAGATTCAGGCTACCCTTTTATACAAGAAATCTCCTTATATTAACAATTCCAAGTTAATGAAGTCATTTTAAAAATGACTGAAAAAAATCGCTTTAGTAAGAAAACACTTTGTCCAAGCCACACATAAACACGCTATACAGACAGTTGAAAATCTGAACTTAATGAAAAAAGAGGATTTAATAAAATAATTTTCGATGTATTTTTATGGCATTCTCAACAACTTTCTCTGCTTGGTGGTGATTCTAATAATAGCGTTTATTAGATTTTACAAGCAGCAGATCTTATCTTCAGTAATTACAGGAAATCTCGTACAATGTTATTGTAATCGGGTGCTATGTCAAGAAAACATTAGGTCCTTTCTTTCTTTGACATAAATTCAATAGTCCTGGTTATTTATTTCTTGGTCAACTTCATTATATATGATAAATTCTGCAGTCAGATTGGAAATAAACTTGCTTATTGCACTCTTTAATATTTTAATAATTATATATGATAAATTCTGCAGCCAGATTGGAAATAAACTTGCTTATTACGTTCTTTAAACATTTCATATTTCAGAAGACTTCAGATTCCTTGCAAAGACAGAGATATATTTTACTGAAATGTGTGTGTGTTTAACATACTAAAAGTTTAATATATTTTTTGTTCCTTTTGGGCGCTGGGGCTGATAAGTGTGCTCCTATAAGCACCAAGTGTTTTCCTAATTGTCATCAAGTCATTTACTGGGCGCTATTGTCTTGTTTAGGCTCCTTAGAAAATGTCTTATACCAAACCTTTACGCCCACACGAATACATATGTGTAGCGAGTATTTAAACCCCTTGAAAATTAATCAGTGTTAAAAAATAAAATTCGTGTTAGACTATGGACTAGCTATTGTAGGTTATGAAATACGGCGCCAAGACTATCAACAACTTGGACTTTGTCTTGAAGTTATTTGTAATCAATTAAGATTTCCACAATCGATGCGGAATTATACAAAGTAAAACAAATATGTATATATATATTTTTGGTAAATACTTATATCAATGTTCGCGACTGTGAGCAATTAAAAGCAATTGGCTTAGGCAAATGTTGTCTTTGAGAAGCCGATATATTATTCAAAACAGTTCAACAATTTTAATCAGACTGACAATGCTCGGTTTCTTATTCCCTATTGTCTCTTTCCAAAGCATAAATATGTACACATAATATTGACAGCAAACTCTGGCATTGAATAGTTTATCCTTTCTGGCCAAAGTTTACACAAGCCACCAAGTTCTTCCGATATTTTAATCTATCGTTTTTGATAAAGCTAAAGTAAGAAGAGATACATGCATTATAAATATTTTTTTTATAACTTGCTAAATATCAAATGTCTTTTAAAATATAATATAATATAAATTTTACTTCCGCATCAAATAATCACGTGACAAATCACGTGATTTCATTGTCCTTATGTACGCTTGCATGAAAGCAAGTCTGAAACAATCTCCAAAAAGACTATCAATTCCCCCTTCGTTATGAAGATCAGACAGTGTATTCGGCGTGTCAAGATGTTTCTATGTAAATAAAGTTAAAGACGAGCCAAGGTGATCATTGCTAGTCGTGGGAAAACGCTTCTCACCAAAACGTTTTAATCTTCAGATCTATATACAAGCTGTTTTTTGTACAAAGAGTTATATGCATAATTGTTGAAAAGTTCATTTGGTTTTGTCAGTTCAAGATTTTTACTAGCTTTCATGTGAATGGTTAGAATAATTTTCGAAGAAAAAATCATTCTTTTCAATAGAATGGAGGGTAACACACTTATTCTAGTCAATTAACATATCATTGTTGAAAACTAATATCTAGATTTAAATCATTTTCAACCTCAATTGAGAACTAGGGGCAAAATTGCAATCGACACAATATTGTATAAACGCCGTATTCACCCTATTTACACCTGTGTTCTTAACTTTTTAAACCTATCGAATTTCATTTACTAGAAACGATTCTGATTGTGCGTCTTCGATATCACGCGCCCGAATGTCTTCGTTTTAAATTCATTCCAGAACAAGTGCCCGTTTGTCTTGGTATCTTAAGGTGTATGCACACACCTGATGTCGAACCGTGAGAAAATCTTCCGACCATGAAATTTTCAATTTTTATCTATGCTTGTTTAAATGCTGCCAGGACTTTTGACAGCACATTAGCATAAAATATAATAATAACAATAATAATCAGAAAAAGTTATGTCCTTCTAGCCTTTCTTAATATATCATCAATGGCAAAAGATATTTTCAACATGTTATATATATAATTTATATATATATATATATATATATATATATATATATATATATATATATATATATATATATATATATATATATATATATAACGATTGGGGGAGGGGGTATATTTTGTTAACTTTGTAAACTTACCGTCCAAGCAAAAGCAAAGGGTAATTTAAGTCTTGTCCTGTTGTAATCCAGGGGATAAGTGAAAGTATTTCCTCCGAGAATCGGGCTAGTTTTGTTTCCAAACGTACAAGAACCGTCAAAGGTAACCCGGCTCTGATATTCTTTTAAACAAACTCGAAAAAAAGTATCGCACTCATCAGTACAAGAGTTGTTGAGATTTCTTACCCCGTCACAACAGGTACCATTCAATACCTCACCCCTTGGGTTCTGAATAGTTGTAATTTGAATCTCAAAATAGCCAGATCCTAAACAGTATTCCAACGCAGTCACAAGAAACACACTTAAACACAACACGAACATAGTTTTTTCTCAAAACCAGTGATCGCAGAAAATTGAAATTTGTGTTAATCGTTAACAATACCTGGTGAAACCTTTCTTTCTGCAGAGAACATGATTGCGATCCTCCCCCTAAAACCATTCCTAAAGATAATATAGCAGATCACAAATCCTGGTCTGAAAATTTCATAAATACTTTCCATAGGAATACATTAAAATTTTTATTTTCCACTTTTCAAGACCATGGTAATTAAATCTCACTTCACTCAAGAATGACAATAAAATTGTAAAAACTAAAGAAATTTGAAAAAATTCTCCATATGCACATAAATCCGTTCATTGCTCTAGATGCGCTTCCATTTAATTTTAAAGTGCCGCGATTATGTTACACCATCGAGGAATTATTGGTCCGAGATTTCGTTGGTCGTGCGTGAGACCCTTCGCCACAACGCTTCCACTCATGCGTACGATGTATAAAAACGCAGAGCCATTTAGTGATCATCTGTATTTTTTCATAACAAACTTGTGCAAGATTTATGTTGGTGATCTCTGATTAGTTAACTGTGTTCTGGTATTCTTTAAAAATATCACTCGCACAATGCACAAAACTGCTTGTAACTTGAATCGGATGAGCCAGCTATATATTCGTCAAATCTGCATAAAGCACGCGCGATGCTCACGCGAAAGCTCGTGCTGGACTTATGAGCTAAAGATGTTTGGAAAAATCGGCAAATGACATCTGGTCATATTCCAGTTTTTTAGGTTGAGTTTTAGTAAATATTTATTGATTAAGAATCCTTAAGTTCACGAGAATGAAGCGCAGAGGTAATTAATTTTACTTGGTGTATTTATCAAAGACTGTGACATATGTTAACTAAACAGTATTGTTCCGCCATAGATCGTTGTTTTCAGAAAACCTATAAGAGTATCAATTAGATATGAAGAATAAATGAATTGTTTACAGAGACCAGTTCAGTAAAATTTAAATGATTCAAGAATTAAATATATATAAATAAGATATGCGAAAGATCGATGTTTACAAGAGAACCGTGGGAAAGACAAATCGAACGCCTTCATCAATACGATTAGCATATCTTAAATATTCGTCAACCTTTGGTTTCTAAGATCTGCCAAATTAAAGGTCGGGAAAAGCGAAGAAAGTATGTAAGCAGGTATCCTATATTTATCACTTCATAAATTCTTATATCCTCAGTTATAACGAGCAATTTTCGGTCAGAATCTAATACTTTTAAACTTTTACTTGCGACAAACGAGCGATTTTCATTCAAGTTTGTTCTAGGTGGATACCCAACCATAGGGAACAACTAGAATTTGAAGATTTTGACTGCAAGATCAAAGCGATGTCACTCCGTAACGCCGCACGAGACGGATGCGCGCGCCTGGGCAGACGATAATAATCTTCTTTGACAGTTACGCATATATATCGCTAGTGAAAGATCGTGGGAATCCTCTCCTCCCATCAACAAAAGTTATTTGTCATACGCTGTTGTGAAAACTTATCACATATTTTTCACTTACCTGTTCGCCGTAACCAGGTGCCCTCTGCTATCGAATTTCAGTGTAAACACAAAGTCAGGGGTCCCAAAGCAATATACCTTTTCATCGCTTTGATAGTAATGATCAACTAATGAGGTTTTTTTGACATTTGAAACGAAAATTAATTTTTTTAAACGTTTATCGATGTATCTTTCAAAAGATGATAGATCTTTGTCTTTTTTTTTCCCAAAACCTTATATATGGAATTGTGATTTGGTTTGAATAAGCAAGTCGCCATGGTTCTCTGACAAAGTATCATCAGTTCTTATCCGTCCATATTGTCAAGGTTAGCTCGTGTCAGCTTTCTGCTAATCTCATTACAATAAAATGGGATCTATGTACTAATTAAAAGATTACATACTCTGCTGATGCAGATGTATCATGCTCAGTGAACTTTTACTGCGCACGAAGATTGACTGGAGTCGTAGAAATTAAGATTCCAATAAAGAGACATAAGCCGAGTCCTTGGCCGTGTCTGTCCTCTGGAATTCGTCTCTCGCACCTATTGAAGATCAAATCAAAAAGACGAATGGAATAAAATGACCATCTCCAGTCGTCATTGCATTATTTGTATGACATATTGGGCTTCTCAGCAACTCCATATATCCAATATTGACATGTTTGAAAAAAATATTATATTAATTCAGTAACACCAGGTTTTTGTTTTTTAATGTGTAACGTCATGACTGAAATTTTTACATTAAATTGTAATAAAAAGACTGTAAATATGTTGAATTTTATAGTTTTTTTTAATATTTTGCAAATTTAATTGAAATCTATACCACGGAATTGTCAGGTGGAGTTCTTTGAAGTTGAAAACAAGTACAAAGTCTTTAATGATGCACAAATTTCCTGAGGAAAAAAACTAAACGAATGAAAGCGTTCTTCAGTTGTCCGATACAATAGTGTCCCCCACTTCGGCAATCTGCGACATTCCAGTGAATAATGCATTAACTGGTGAATTTTTGATGACTGCATTCTGTTGTAATCTCTGCAGTTTTCTGAGTGAGGTGCTGGAAATGAGAGGGTACACGCCATCTTTTCTCCAGCAAAATCTCCACAACGTCATTAAAATAACGAATAATTGATTTTATTGAACGTAAAAAGACGTATTATTTGATAAAATCTGTAGAAAACGGAAAAAATTAACAAGTTATAAATCTTTATTTCATCCTTATGGGTATAGAAGATGGCGGATAATTTGAAAAGAAAGCAATAATTTTTTTTAATTCATTTCTTTTAAAGACTTCTGACTATTGCAATTTGGTTTTAACAAATGTTAACCAAAGCGCGATAATTCAGTATTAAATATTATCTAACTTCCTAGGAGCAGCTTGGCAAAAGCTGAAAAGGAAAAAAAGAAAAAAAAATATTTTTGTAAGATTGAAACAGTAACAATTTATTCGATGGATATATCTAATAATTCTTTTTTAATTAGAATTTTTCTGTTATACATGTATAAATTAGTATTTTTCTTGTATACATATATTTCAATCCTTGTTGAAAAATTGGCTTTAATAACGGGAAAAAGATCATGGATTTCAGATGGAAATTTAGTGATAAATGTGTGTTTTGGCAATAATTAAGCTTGCACAAACTCTTATACAAATTTCTATAATGTAATTTTTTGGGTATCCTATGTCTTTAAAGCAGAGGGACAGCTAGCTGAGACAAGATTTATAATTCCACAGTCAGATAATGCAAAGAACAAAACCGTGAACTGTTTCCAAAGAGATGTAGATTCTGTACTCAAAACTTTCTGATTTGACTAAGTCCATGGATATTATGAAAAGTGAGCCTCAATCTCTCAAAGAAGGTCGACGAAATGAAAACTTGAAAAAAATCTTCGAAATTCTGAATAGAAGAAACATGCTGATTGCTATAACTGCGGACAATAAGGACATGTCATGAAAGACTGTAAAGCGGAGAAAAAGTTGAGCATACGAAAGTCAAGAGAACTCTCCAAGCAATCGCATATTAAGAGTGAAATAGGCATAAGTAAACAACAAAATGATGCTGGGATGTTTTTGTTATTTCTGTTACAGAATGTGAGGTAGACACCGGAGCAACATTCTCTCCTATTTCTGAGAATTTGTACAAGAATCTTTGAGTTCACAATCTTTGGAACAACTCATTCGAAAAACTGCCGAGAGATGTAATGACTGCGAATAATAATCCACCGAGAGTATTTGGCAGAACTCAAGTTACCCTTTAAGGTGTAACCTACATCACTTCTGCGAATTGAATGTGGATGGTGTGATTGGATTGGACTTTATGACTTTAGTGCTTATGTAGTAGTTTTAAGTAAGAAGAAGCCGAAAGTCAATGAAAGGGTTATTTCTCTCATATTTTCAGGACAAATCGAATGCTACAAGATAGCAGTTGCAATGAAATATGGATATAACGAACACTAATCAAGCTCAAAAGTCCATTGAAACAATACAAATCGGGAGCAGAGCACATACATCAACTCTTAAAAACATCAGAGGTGGGACCAAGTGCCATGGAGGAGTGAGCATTCAGTGTCGACCGCCGTGTGCTCCTTGTCATGATCGGGAAAAACGGAAAAATCCGTAGACAATTCAGTGTTTAAATAATGGCCTAACAATTAGTATGAAAAATGTCAGTCAGCATTCGACTTAATGATAGATTGTATTTGCTGACAAAGTCATTGTATCGACCATAGAACTTGAGAAATGATGGTTTTAAACGAGACTTTTTTTCATCAACTTGTTTGTCAATAGCTTGCCACCTTTAGAAATTTTTCGTATGTGGGACATGCTCTTGCGTATCGAATCAAATGGGAGATATAAACCCCATACGCAGGTGATAACGGTATATTGTTACATAGGTAAGGGAAGTGGACGATAGAAAAGTAAGTCATTTGTTGTTAGGTAATCATCAAAGTTTTTTTCAAGTAAAATATCCAGATATGAAACAGATGTGTAAGACTGTGGTATCTTTTATTTTAAGTTCACTGGGATATATGAGTCGACATATGAATGGAAGTATCTATTGTTAATTGATAATACGTCGTCGATATATCTAAATGTCAAGTTGAAGGCCACAGCAACTTTCCTCTTCTCATGTGTAAGTTTTTGAATAAATTCTGCTTCAACATTCCTCCTAGCTTAGAGAGAGTAAAAAATGCAATATATAATCGCCTAAAGGAGAAAATATCTAGTGATGGACTTACAGAGACTAGAAATGGATATGTCAGCGTAGAGCTTAGTTTGATAAGAAAAATATTGGATATAATAAAAGAGAAAGTTCCTGTAAGTGATTTGAATGTTCATCACATCAAATGTTCAAGTTATACGGAAGAACACAGCGGTAGCGAAAGTTGAGTCAGAAGACAGTGTCATTGACGAGACTAGTTAAGAGTCTACAAAAGAGTCTTTAAGACTCTTAAAGTTAAAGTTAACTTATTTGCATGACTTGTTGATCGAACAAAGCAAACACTTTCATAGCAAACAACGACAAGAGCTTTAGAAATTTCTAGAAAAACTTGCTCGACTTTTTTGCTTGGTAGACTCGGTAGAACTGATTTAGTAAAACAGCATCAACACGGGTGATAAAACACTTATTAAGCAGCGGCTCCGCAGAATTTCAGTCCATTGGGGGTGACGCAATAGATGAGCAATTAGACCTGTTAAAAAAGGGGTTTTATTGAACCCTCCATAAGTCCATGGCATAATTCGAGAAGGTGGAACTTTAACTCAAAATAAAGAAATAAACTCTGTTTGGAAAAAATGGTTGAGCATTTAGGACATACAATCTCGGAAGAAGGGATTCCTACGGATCCTAAAAAGATCTAAACGGTGAAAAGTTGGGTTGAGACAACATCAGTTAAAGAATTGATATTATTTTTAGGTTTAAGCAGCTACAATAGGCGATTTATAAAGGAATTTGTAACAAATTCACACTACTGCATAAAATTACTTCGAAAGACATGGATTTTAGTAGTCGGACCAGTGTCAAAATATGATGAGTCTGAGAAAAGTAAACTGACCCACATACAGTATATTAGCTTATCCTGATTTCCACGATTGTTAATTCTGTATACTGATGTAAGTGAAACGGTCATCGGAGCTGTGTTTTCGCAGATACAAAATGGACAAGAAAGGATCATAACATGCCAGTCGAAAGTCACAAAATATGAGACGAAAGACTACGTGACAAAGAAGGAAAGAAGGAGTTACTTGCAACTGCAGTTGTTAAACATTTCCGTCATTATTTGTACAGGAGAAAGTCCACTGAGAAATGATAAAAAAAAAATTAAAAATCTTACTAAGATTAATAAATTTCAAAGACCCTGAAGGCAACTTGGTCATTGATAAGAGGTTCTTGCTATGTACGATATGATCACTGAGCTGGAACATAGTATTGCAATGCGAATGTAAGGGGGCATTCGTAATCAGTCCACGAACTTTTTGATAACCCCTCGTATATTCTCTCTCTGCCCAATGAAATGTAGAATGCCATAACCAATGAGGACTTAGTTTTCTTGAACAATCAAAATTAAGTGACATTTGCTACAAAGGTGTATAAATCGTGTAAGACATTTTACAGGTAGTAGTTTAAAAGGTCTAGTGCAGACAGAAGAAACAAGCAACGGTAAGTGCTGAGAGTATTGGACGTGACTAAACGACTTTCCTTTTTCTGAAGCTAATTTACATTAAATGCAAATACAGTGGACTACAGTATATATAACAGTAGTATACAATGGTTATGTCTAAAATCTTAATAGGGCCACGTTGTTTACTACTACAGCATCGGACCACCAATGTCTGGGTCAGTGGTGCGATGATGATGATATAACGGCACATTGACGATGAAGCTATGGTGCAGTGATGCGATGACGATGTTTCAGTGGCACGATAACGCGATGGTACGATGATGAAAGATGCTCGCTTTCGCTACATCATACAATCGCATCTCATCTTAGTCATCGTACCTTCGCGTTATCGTACCGTCGCGTCATCGTATTCGCAGCATCACGTCATGGCCATTACATCATCGTGTCATAGTCACATCGACCCAGAAATCGATTTGAGATGGTGCGATAGTGAACTACATGGTCCACTATTGGTTCCATAGTTATGTATCCTTACCTTCATAACTAATGTTTCCTTCCTTATCTATTTCTGTCCGAGATAATAGCTCTTTCATTTCTTCATCAGAGATCTTTTCTCCAAATGAAGAAAAAAGGAGTTTAAATTCTGATTGGCTAATAACACCATTGCCATCTTTGTCATATCTTCGAAAAGCCTCTCTAATTTCTTCTTCAAACTGTTTTGGATCCTCGTAAATTCCTCTTGTCAGATTTACAAACTCGGAAAATTCCAGTGATCCATTTCCTATATAGGAAGAATAAAAACAAAAACGGCGATTATTTAAACAATATTTTCATGCAAAAGAGTTCCAGATCATTTGATTGTTTCAGGTTTATTGACCATTTATACAATGCACACTAGAGTTCTAATTCCATGGTATTTTTATGCAGTTTGAGTGACCTGCCCTTAGATCTAAACTGTAATAAATTGAAATCTACAGCATATTACTCTATAAGTAATCAATTCACACATTTTAAACAATTTATAAGCCAAGATGAATGAAATGAACACTTTAATTTTAAATAAGCAACAGTGATTTGTATTCATCAGTACTATGTTGTATTTAAACAATTTTGCTGAGGGTAAATGGCAGGTTCCATACATTGAAAATGGAATAGATAGAATCAGTATTTACACCTATGATATAATTTTGCCAGTGTCCAAAAGCACTTTTTATTAATGTATAGAGGATCCTTAAGAACTAAGTGCATGTACTGGAATTGATGTGGATCAAACTCAGAGGCAATGGTGTATTGGTTTAAAAGATCAAATAGTGTTTGAAGAGAAGTATTCGACAATTGACTTTAGTACATAGCTTTGATTTCCGGGAAGGCCAAAGAAAAATCAAATTTAATTTATATGTGCATAACGTACTTTTTATACTATTTAATTATTAAAAGCATTGCGTGTACCTTGCTATGAAAAATTCTGTCAGAAAAAAATCCGAGTCTATAAGATAAAAAGTTTTCGTCAGTCAGGCCCTAAGCCACAATTTGTAATTTGTATCTTGTTTGTGCTATGATAGTTTTGTAACTGGAAGTTAAATATTTTTACGATAGTTGGGAATGTTTCTTTGTAATGAAAAAGATGAAGCTAAAGAACAATGATCGAGCTCGAAAAAAACCTACAAACAATACAAATCTGTTGACATCGAGTCGACTTAATAGTATGTATAGAAGTAACTATTGTTAATTGATAAAACGTCGTCGGTATATCAGAATGTGTTGAAGGCCACAGCAAGTGTTTTCTTCTTCTGTACCAAAACTTGGGAAAATCTGAATTGCAAATCTTCTAATGTTGTCTACGGAATAGAATGTAATCTTTGTGGACTTGTTTATGTTGGTGAAACCAAGGGATCACTCAATAAGAGAACATCAGGTCATAGATTTCAGATAAATAATGGGGGTCAGCAACTTTTATACAAACATTTTAATTTACCTGATCATTCTAGTTTGTCAATGAAAGTTAGAATTCTGGAAAAGATTTACCACCACACAAACAGTCCATCACTGAGTACACCTTTCCGTAGGCAACGAGAAGAATTTTGGATAAGAAAGCTAGGGACAGCCTTTCCCTATGGATGTAATGACAATGTCGATAGTGTTGGAAATCTTTCCAGTCCACAGTGTAACAATGTAAATGTGATGGGACTTTTTAACCATACACAGAGACGTAAGCGTAGTCATGGGCATCGGTCTTACAATAAACCTTTAATACACGATGTCTCTTTTGATTCATTACTACCTTACGTAAATCAACAGTTAGGGTTACATCATATTCGCACCAAACTTTACTCTGTCCCTTTGAAACTTTTAAATAGTCTTCTTGAAAAGGTCAAGGAAAGTCCATTTTTTGATTCCTCGACACCAGAATATAGGCTCGGATCTGTAGTTATGGATATTGCCAATCATAGGCTTTTTAAACCCCCGCGTTTTACTGAAGAAAATGCAGCTAAAACAATCCGTTTTTTCCTTAAACTTCAATATGCCAACAAAGGAATTGACGCGGTTAATATAAGTAATATCCTTAATCACAAAAGGGTCCAGTCTTGTATTCCACCATATTTCAAGTTAAAGACTACACCTTGTATTTCCTACAAATATACATCGACTATTGCTTCCAAACTTTTTAATTACAAGAAAACTTTACAGGGCCTGGATATCGAATATCTGAAACATAATCCTCCATCGTGTTCATGTTCTTCTTCGCCCTATAACTATAGTCCTGCTGGACACGGTATTACTGGTGACGTAAATATAGTTAATAATGAGGATCTTAGATCACTAATTTTAAAAGGTCCTAAATTTAGGGAACGCAGATCCTTCAACTGGCGTAAGAATTTCATAAATATTATGGATTCTGTAGAGGACTACGCCAGGCGATGGGCCAGACATGAAAAGGAAGACCTTGACACTTTGTCAGAATGGATTAAATGTATCAGATGTATGTTAAAATCGCGCATTAAAAGATTGAGAGGCAATATGAAAACCATCTATCCTTCTGTATTCAATAATCCAGAAGTGAAAAAAAGAAATAGATTACATGATCAGTACGTACTGGTCCCTGCTGACAAAGCAAGTAACAACATTGTCTTTGTTTGTAAGGCTCATTATATTAAATGTATTTTAGAGGAACTTGGATTTAATTCTACAAGTGGTAATCCAACTTATACTCATAGTTCCCTTTCTAAGGAAGAAATTCTTCAAAATCATACGTCAGTTTTGAATATTTTTAATATTCCAAACAACCAAAATGAATTCGAATTACCATATTTATATTGGATTCCGAAACTTCATAAAAATCCTTACAAACAAAGATACATATAGATTATTATAACAGTAACTTGATCCGAAGAGCCGTATCACGTCGAGTTGACAGGCGCGGATCATCAGATCAAACGAGACGCGAAGCGTCGAGACGCGAAGCGTCGAGTTTGATCTGATGATCCGCGCCTGTCAACGAGACGTGATACGGCACTTCGGATCAAGTTACTGTTATAATGATAAATTTATTATATACCCCTTTACAACTAGCAAAGTATAATAAAAGGAAACTTTTTGGATCATATACATAACTTTTATCCATTAAACAAACCATTTTGTCAAGGAACTTTTTGATGCGCGAGAATATAAACGTCATTTATCTGTGTACTACGTCATCAGTTTCAGATAGGGGTGATATGGATTCAGAAAACCACAAGTGTGGTGATCCGGAACGTCGGATCACACTGTCACGTGATTGCGTGAATTTAACAGTAAAACTGGTGACAAACAGTTGGGTATATAATAAATAGCGGGTTCCAGTAAATGTTCAACCAAGCCTCTATCTTTACTCCTCACTAAGATATTAACAGTGGTGAAGGAGGAACTTCAAGAGTACTGTGCAACAATATATTCGAGAAGTGGTGTAAATCAGATGTGGATACTTAAAAATTCCAAGGAACTTTTGGAAAATTTGAAATCACAAGATTTTACCAAAATCAACAGCTTAAAAACTTACGACTTTTCAACTTTATACACAACCATTCCCCACGATAAATTAAAGTCCAGGCTTTTTGATATCATTGACAGCTGCTTTTTCAATAAAAATGGAACTCGTAAATATACTTACCTTGTCATTGGTCATTTGCAAAATTATTTTGTTAAAAACATTCTGATTGTACACACAAGTACTCTGAAGTTGACATTAAAAAGATGATTGAGTTTCTGATTGACAATATCTATGTGGTTTTTGGAGACCAGGTCTTCCAACAATCTATTGGAATTCCTATGGGTACCAATTGCGCCCCGTTATTAGCAGACCTTTTTTTGTATTCATATAAAGCAGAATTTGTCCAAAATCTTGTACGTGAAAAGAAGAAAACACTTGCTGTGGCCTTCAACTCGACATTTAGATATATCGACGACGTATTGTCACTTAACAATGGCTATTTTCATTCTTATGTCGATACGATATATCCTGGTGAACTTGAGATAAAAGATACCACAGAGTCTGACACATCTGTTTCATATTTGGATATTTTACTTGAAAAAGACGTTAATGGTAATCTAACAACCAAGCTTTATGATAAACGTGATGACTTTAACTTTTCAATCGTCAACTTCCCTTACTTATGCAGCAATATACCTTCATCACCTGCATACGGGGTATATATCTCTCAGTTGATTCGATACGCAAGAGCATGCTCTACGTATGTACAATTTCTAAAACGAGGTAAATTATTGACAAATAAGTTGATGTAACAAGAATATCAGCTGTCTCGTTAAAAGTCATCATTTCGTAAGTTCTATGGTCAATACAATGACCTTGTCAGCAAATACAATTTATCATTGAGTCAAATGCTGACTGACGTTTTTCATACTAATTGTTAGGCCATTATTTACACACTGAATTGTCGACGGATTTTTCCGTTATTTCCCGATCATGACAAGGAGCACACGGCGGTGTGACCGGTCGGCAGGGGATGCTCACTCCTCCATGGCACCTGATCCCACCTCTGATGTTTGGAGGTCCGTGTTTGCTCTGCTCCTATTTTGTATTGTATAATGAACTTTTGAGCTTGAATACTGTTCGTTATCTCCATATATTTCATGTACAAGTTTTGGAATGCATTCTGCTTCATAGGAATATAAAAAACAGGTCGGCTAATAAAAGAGCACAATTAGTGCCCATTGGAATTCCAACGTTTTGTTGGAATACCTGATCTCCAAAGACTACGTAAATGTTAATGTCAATGATGAACTCGAGCATCCTTTTAATATCAACTTTAGATTACTTCTGTGTAGAATCAGTGGTTTTTGTTAATGACCTATCACAAAATATGAAAATTTCCGAGTTTCATTTTTGTTGAGGAATCAGTTGTCTGTGATATCATGAAGCCTAGTTTTGGATATATCACGAGGAATGGTTGTATTAAGTGTAGAAAAGTCATAAGTTTTGATGTTAATAACTTCTGAAAAAAAATTACGATTTTAAGCTTTCTAAAAGTGTTTTGAAGTTACATTACTTCTAGATTATGCTGTAACACAGTACCTTTACAGCAGTTAATATTATTTCAGAAGTAAAGATAGGGGCTTGATAGAACACTTGCTGGTCCCTGCAATGTATGTTTGTTTGTAAGGATTTTTTATGAACTTAAGGAATCCAGTATAGGAAGGGTAGATCGAAATCAACTTCGTTGACTGGAATATTTAAAGTATTAAAGACTGAAATGTGATTTTGAAGAATTTCATCCTTAGATGGTAAAATAATTACATATACAAGGTCTTCGTGTCGTGTTTCATTGAAATAAAAAAATCTCTTTTCAACTCATATGTAGAGGATATACTTTAAGTAAAATAGAGCAATGACCCACTCTTTTGAATTATTTGTGTTTATGTAAACAGAAATGGCCAAATCTGTCTTTTTTAAGCATGCGTCTTTAAAAATAAATATATGGATCCTGGTTAGATTGCGACATAATGCGTCGATTTTACAGCAAGTATCTATTACTGACAACCTGTATATATCGGAGATTTATGGATTACTTTCAATCCTTCTTATTTATTCTACCGTCACGGTAACTCAGTCGGTAGATCGGAAATTCGTGTGTTCGAATCACGGCCGCGACTGACCTAAGTCGATAAAAAATAGGTAGTAACTGTTCCTTCGCCAGACACTCGGCACGTTGAAGTGAAAGTTGCAGGTCTTTCGGATGAGACCTTAAATACCGAGGCCCCGTGTCAAGGTAGGCGTTGGCACGATGAAGAACCCTCACTGCTCAATGGCCCTAAGTGCCGAGTAAAGGTCTAAATTTGAAGCCCTTCACCGGTTTATGGTTACGTCTCTATATGAGTGAAAAATTCTTGAACGGGACGTAAAAAAATATACAATCAATCAATCTTATTTATTCAACAATGGTCATTTTTCTCAGCTATCGTCCAAACTCTATAGTTATTATAGTTTGACTTTTTATAGCATGTCTGTGGCATCAGAAAAATGTTTAAAATGAAATACGGAGATAACGAACAGTATTCAAGCTCAAAGTCCATTTAAACAATACAAATCGGTAGCGGAGCAAACGCGGACCTCCAAAAACATCAGAGATGGGATCAGGTGCCATGGAGGAATGATTATCCCCTGCGGAACGGTCACACCCTCCTTATGCTCCTTGTTATGATCGGAAAAAACGGAAAAATCCGTAGACAATTCAGTGTGTAAATAATGGCCTAACAATTAGTATGAAAAACGTCAGTCAGCATTTGACTTAATGATAAGTTGTATTTGCTGATAAGGTCATTGTATCGACCATAAAACTTGCGAAATGATGACTCGAAACGAGACTGTTGTTTATCCTTGTTTCAGCAACTTGTTGATTCGATACGCAAGAGCATGCTCTACGTATGAACAATTTCTAAAACGAGGCAAACTCGGAAACAAAAACCCCATAGGCAGGTGATAGGGTATATTACTACATAAGTAAGGGAAATTGACGTTTGAAAAGAAAATATCAAAAGTTTAAAGATTTTAAAACTTTTTGTGTGCATTTTTTTAACATCTGATCAGAATCAGTTGTAATGAATTAACAGTAATGAAAATATTGAAACTGTATTAAGAATTCAAAATGACTACCTTTAACCTGATTACCAATCGTAGTAGTTAATTAAGCTTATACAGTTACCGTCATTGTCGACGTCATTAATGATGTCTTGTAGTTCGGATGTTGTTGGGTTTTGTCCACAAGCCTGCATTACATTTTGGAGTTCCCCGGCATCTACTGTTCCATTACCGTCATGGTCACAGGCATTAAAGACCCCACGAATTTCTTGAGTATAAAAAGTATTTTTAAAAAAAATTTACGTAATATTTTTATATAAACATAACTGAAGTACTGTGTTCATAATGATACATTTTTGTGTTTTTTTGAAAATGACTAATCGTTTTTACAGTCAATTAAATCTAAGTTGAAGTAGGTTGGAATTGCCAATATAAAAACCAAATGCAAGCAAGTTAGTGTAGAAAGGTGACAATTCCCCTTTTTCTCCTCAGTAACTATGTCTTTGTTTCCCCTTTCTTTGTAATTGTATCGAATTTATCGGTAAACACTTTCTGCCGTGTAATAGTTTCGGCGTTGATCAAACAAAAAATTCTTCAGAATTTTGATTTAAGGAAGCAACATGAAATAATTATGCTTTTCGGTGTAATCGATTTTGTTAACTGAATCCTTTTTGATTGCCTTGATTAAAATAGAACGATATATTTTAATCTCGAATTTTATGAAGAGTGTTCTTTGCATTTTACATCTATGAAAGTATATTTAACGGGGTATGTTCTTAACGAAAATGGTAGGAACAAATACCGCCTGTAATCAGGCTTTGAACAATACCATGAGAAAACATTGCTATTTTACTAGCTGTATGATTTTGATTTGGTTCTTTGAATTTCATCACCTGATGATCACCATATGAAGAGTATGTCTCATAACTGTCTGTAGACATTAATTAAGTGTCCTTGGTTCTTCAGGATATGACTAACACACCCTGTCTAGGGTTTGAACTCTGGACTGAGGGGACATGGAATACTATTTCTTAGATCTGAACTTAGGGGACATGGAATATTTTTTTTTCGTAGGACTGTTTTTGTTCAATATCACATTGGACTCAAGTTCAGTAAAATTTAGCTACTAGATTTCATGATTAAAGAAAAAGATATTAAAAGACACAGTCATGTCAAAACTCAGGCTAGTACATGTTCATGAGTAAAGAGGGAGAATTTTCAATGCTGTACTTTCAATAGATACACCCGCAGGATTTTCACAAATTTGCTCATTCCTATCATACAAATTGTTTGATTGTTAGGAGTCTAGGAGTAAAGTATTTTTAGATTGCATATTATTTTTTTTTAGTTTCATCTCACCCTTAGGTCCAATAGTACAACAATCTTGATATGTTTACCTTCTATCTGCAGTTGCGAGAGCTCTTTGCTCTTTGAGTTCTAAAAAATGAAAAAGAAATACTGAAATAAACATGTATACTTAATATAATCATTTCAGTGTAAAGTTACGATTCTCCAGTGATGTAGGGAGGTTAAAAGATACAGCTACTTGTGTATCTTGTGAATTTTTATTTTTTTTTTTTGAAATTGTGAACATGATAATGGGTTATTATATTGTACGTTGTGAATTTTGTATTTACTTCCACCCATTAAACTAAATATTTACAACATGATACAACTTACAATAAAGATATGTTTAGAATTCAAACTATAGCGAATTTAACTACTAGTATTCATCTAAAAATATATGTTTGTAACATGTAAGATCACATAAATTGGGGTATAATGTTTAAATCAAACTGTCTATTAAGGTTAGAAACCACTCAATAAAATGTTTTTAGGGATACTGACGTCATATTTCAGTTGAGTTTGTTTATCCAGTAATGTAGGACAATTTCGTGTGTTCAACAGAAAAATATTACTCTAAAATTCTGGAATGCAGCTGCGTAGTAAATTGTCGTTGGTTTCACAATGCAGTGAAGAACTGCATTATGAAGAGAAAAAGCTAACTTTTTCCCATCTTTAAAAAACTCTGCCAAATTTATATTATACATCTGTTGGCCTTTCCGGTTTGCTTCATTTTCTTTTTGTAAATCGTATCTATTATATGTTCATTTTATAAATGATAGAGGTAATCTAATCAAATATCAGAATTAAGAAGAGCAATTTTTGTCTTACCATCTCACAATGTGTCCTTTCCCCTGTAGCTTCTCTTTGTAAATGTATTCCAGAAATCGATCCAAATAAAGGGTCAGTTCAATATGTGTTGGTTTACTTGCACTATGGCTTCAATTTTTGAAACAAGAAGATCACAATAGAACAAGTGCCATATAACAATGCTTTAAACTACTTTAGGTAAATTCATATAAACTAAGTTTATTCTGTCTCTCGCAAAAATTTATTGTAATTTTTTTATTTGGACGTCGACTATATAAAACCGCAGATATTTTTTTACTCTTGTTCAGCGTTACTCAGTCTTCAACAATGCGCAATTTATATTACTTTTGTGATCTTGGTGTGCTCTCTTTGTGTCGATCTTCGAATATTTCCTTTGGTATGTTTTTTAATGTTTTGTATGAACAAGAAATCTGCTATTTAAAAAATATTTCATTTCAATATTTGTCTCCAGACATTGTTTGCATAAGACATTTTATTTATTATTTGTATTGAATGTTAGTTTCTTGTATAGAAACTTATGTTACTCACTTTTGTCACTGTCAATGAATAAAATATGGAGATAACGAACAGTATTCAAGCTCAAAGTCCATTTTCACAATACAAATCGGGAGCAGAGCAAACAAGGACTTCCAAAAACATCAGAGGTGAGATCAGGTGCCATGGAGGAGTGATTATCCCCTGCCGACCGGTCACACCCGCCGTGTGCTCCTTGTTATGATCGGGGAAAACGGAAAAATCCGGAGACAATTCAGTGTGCAAATAATAGTCTAACAATTAGTACATGTATGAAAAACGTCAGTCAGCATTTGACTTAATGATAGGTGTATTTGCTGACAAATTAGACCTATACTCGGCACTCAGGGCCATTGAGCAGTGAGAGTTCTTTATCGTGCCAACGCCTACCGTGACACGGGACCTCGGTTTTTAAGGTCTCATCCGAAAGACCCGTGACTTTCATCTCTAGTTCCAGGCGCTTGGCGAAGGAACAGTCACTACCTATGTTTACGTCTTAGGTTTGACTCAGCGCGGCGAACGAGAATCGAACCCGGGCCTCCCAGTCACGAAGCGAGCACCCTAAGATTAGGCTACCGTGACCGTTCTCGAGTCGATATATGAATAGAAGTAACTATTGTTAATTGATAATACGTCGTCAGTATATCTAAATCGAGTTGAAGGCCGCAGCAAGTGTTTTCTTCTTCTCATGTAGAAGTTTTTGAATAAATTCTGCTTCATATGAATATAAAAAAAGTCTGCTAATAAGGCGGCACAATTGGTACCCATGGGAATTCCAACAGATTGTTGGAAGACCTGATTTCCAAAAACTACAAAGATATTGTCAATCAGAAACTCAATCATCTTTTTGATATCAACTTCAGAGTACAATCAGATTTTTTTAACAAAATAATTTTGCAAATGACCAATTACAAGTTAAGTATATTTACGAGTTCCATGTTTATTGAAAAAGCAGCTGTCTATGATTTCAAAATGCCTGGACTTTGATTTATCATGGGGAATGGTTGTATAGGTGTTGATGTTTGATGTTATTGATTTTGTTAAAATTTTGTGATTTCAAATTTTCTTAAATTTCTTTGGAGTTTTTAGGTATCCACATCTGATTTACACCACTTCTCAAATATATTGTTGTACAGTACTCCGTGAAGTTTCTCCTTTACTGCTGTAAATATTTTAGTGAGGAGTAAAGAAAGAGGCTTGGTAGAACACATACTGGAACCTGTTATGTATCTTTGCTTGTAAGGATTTTTATGGAGTTTTGGAATCCAGTATAGGTATGGTAATTCAAATTCATTTTGATTGTTGGGAATATTAAAATATTTAAAACTGACGTATGGTTTTGAAGAATTTCCTCATTAGAAAGAGAGCTATGGGTATAAGTTGGATTACCACTTGCAGAATTAAGTCCTAGTTCCTCTAAAAATACAAATCAAATAATGTGCCTTACAAAAAAAGACAACGTTGTTACCTACTTTGTCAGCGGGGACCAGTAAATGCTGATCGTGTAATCTATCTAATTCTTTTTTCACTTCTGCATTGTCGAAGACAGATGGATAGATGGTTTTCCTAATGCCCCTCAGTCGCTTAATGCGCGATTTCAACATCCATCTGATACAATTAATCCATTCTGACAAAGTGTCAAGGTCTTCTTTTTCATATTTGGCCCATCGTCTTCCATAATCTTCTACTGAATTCATAATATTTATGAAAGATGCCAGTTTTTTATGATTAAAAAGTTTGGAAGCAATTGTCGATGTATATTTGTTAGAAATACAAGGACTGGTGTGGATTTCAACTTTAAATATGGTGGAATACAAGATTTGAATTTTTTGTGATTAAGAATATTACATATATTGACTGCGTCTATTCCTTTGTGGTATATTGAAGTTTAAGGAACAAACGGGTTGTTTGAGCGGTATTTTCTTCCGCGAAACGTGGTTGTTTAAAGAGCCTATGATTTGCAATATCCATAATCACAGATCCGAACCTGTATTCTGGTGTTGAAGAATCGAAATATGGACTTTTCTTGACTTTTACAAATAGACTATTCAAAACTTTCAAAGGGACAGAAAAAAGTTCGGTGCGAATGTGATGAAGGCCTTACTGTTTAATTACATAAGGTAGTAGTGAATCAAAGAAGACATCGTGTATATAATAGGTTTATTGTAAGACCAATGCCCATGACTACGCTTACGTCTCTGTGTACTATTTTCACATTGTTACACCGGGGGTTTGAAAGATTCCCAACACTATCGACGTAGTCATTGCTACCATATGGAAAGGTCGTGCCTAGTTACGCTTTAAAACGAGACGACATTGGAACAAACAGCATCTTGAAAGTCGAACTGTTTGACATTTTGTCAATGAAAAAAGTTACAGATGCTTCGGGTGCGTTAAAAATTCATTTTTGTTCCAGAAAAAAATATTTTCTTTTATTTTGCCTTCTACGTATATATCATACATATGCATTTTTGATTACTGACTATTTCCTTTGGATCGGAATCAATCGGAAATAATTGAAATGAGGTACTTTTGAATAAAGAAAAGGATTTTTATCCTATGATTATATTGTTCAAACTAAAATGTTGCTGGTTATTAATGGAAAAAGCAACAGACCTGCCTACCCTTCCGCTTTTGGCGTAATTCGTCCGCTTTTTACCAAGAAATTACGCTGTTACGCCATGTAATTTAATTTTACGCTTTTAAATATTTTTCATAGACAACTTAATGAATTGCTAACTTGGGAGTTAAGTAAAGGCTTTCCTAAATAAAAACAAGAAGATAATTAATACTAATTAATAGAGGGTTTCAGTTCTTCACGATATGTTTATTTAACATACAAACAACATACGTAATATACTTTGTAGTTATGCCTTTTAAACGAGTGGCATGCCAAAATTAAGAAAAACAACTTTTGAATAAAAGTTTATAAAAGTAAAGTCTGTTTAATTTTAAATTCAGTTTATTCTTACATTGCTTAGAACAACATAGAGAAAAGTAAATGTAAGGAAAACAAAAACGAAATAACGCAATAATGTAGAATTTGTATTAACATGCAAATGAAACTTTGAATTATGTGATTTTCTATAAATTTTCCGAAAGTTCATTAGGCATGTAAGTTAAATAAGTTTGATATAACTGCATTTAGGATACCAGTCATACAACACATGGACTTTTTGTCAATAAATGATTTGAAAACGGAACATTCATGCTTACTTTGTTCAATGATGTACAATTACAGGTTTATTTAGACATTATAGTATCATTGCCAAACATCAAACTAGGGAAACATAAAGGATTACGCCTTTACCTCTGAAATTACGTCAAAATGAGTATCGAAATTACACCCTCGTAATGAAAAGGGTAGGCAGGTCTGAAGCAATTATGATCCGTAATACATTATAATTCAAAGACCAATCTATATTTAGATATTCATTGATATTGCTCGCCATTAGGAGGTTGATTTTTAGCTCACCTAGACGAAGTCGAGATTAGCTCATGCTATACCCCCGGCGATGGCGTCGGCATTGGCATCCCGGTTAAAGTTTTAGGAGCAAGTGTCATTCTCAAGCAACTTTAAGCGCTATCTGGACCAAACTTGCTTGAATTATACATCACGGGATGTACATTACCTGACTTGCATCTGTTACAGGATCTGACCTACATTTTCCAGATGAGAGCTTTTTCGAGTAAGTTCAAGTTTTCGGAGCAGTTTTTTTTTCAAATACCTATAAGGCTTATGGTGAGGAAACTTGACTCGATAGATCCCAGTGAGTTTGAAAATAAAAGATACGTACTTGGATATTTTACTAGAAAACTACTTTAATAGTAACCTAACAACCAAGTTTTATGATAAAGGTGATGACTTCAACTTTTCAATCGTCAATTTCCCTTTATACTTATGTAGCAATATACCCTTATCACCTGATTATGGGGTTTATGTCTCTTAGATGATTCGATACGCAAAAGCATGCTCTACGTACGAACAATTTCTAAAACGAGGCAAGTTATTGACAAACAAGTTGATGAAACAAAAACATAAACAGTCTCGTTTAAAGTCATCATTTCGCAAATTCTATGGTCGATACAATGACCTTATCAGCAAATACAATCTATCATTAAGTCAAATGCTGACCGACGTTTTTTCATACTAATTTTTAGGTCATTATATACGCACTGAATTGTCTACGGATTTTTCGTTTTTCCCGATCACGACTGGGAGCACACGGCGGATGTGACCGGTCGACAGGGGATGATCACTCCTCCATGGGATCTGATCCCACTTTTGATGTTTTAGAGGTCCCTGTGTGCTCTGCTCCTGATTTGTACTCTTTGTATGGACTTTTGAGCTTGAATACTGTTCGTTATGTCCATATTTCATGGATTATGCAAAGACGGATGCACATCGGATGCTGGATCTGGCCTACATTTACAAGATGAGTGAACAGGTTAAAATTTAGAATTTTTGGAACAGGTTTATTTCCAAGTAACTATGCCCTATCTTGACCAAACTTGCATGGATGTTGCATCAATGAATGCATTCTTCCACAGTGGCTGTTCGTACGTTGAGCATGTATCTGACCTATATTTTCTGTATGAGTGACCACGTAAAAGTTTTAATAGGAGCAAGATCATCCCCAAGTAACTATAAGCCCTATGGTGACCAAACTTGCTTTTATGATGCATCTTGGATGTATTTTACCAGACTGGTTTCGGATCCTGGATCTGACTTAAATTTTCAGAATGAGTGAACAGGTTAAGATTTTTGGAGCAAGTTCATTCCTAAATAACTGTAAGCTTTACCTGGAACAAAGTTGCATTGATTATGCATCTAGGGATGCACACTTCCAGACGTGCTTCGGATGCTGGATGTAATGACCTAAATTTTTAGGATGAGTAAACAGGTTGAAGCCTACCTAGACCAAACTTGCAAGGATGATGCATCTAAGTAAGCGCATTACAAGACATGCTTCGGATGATGGATCTGCCCTACATTTTCTGGATGGGGTTGAACAAGTCTAATTTTTTACAACAAGAACATTCTCAAATAACTGTTAGCCCTTCCTGGATAAAACTTGCATGTATGATGCATCAAGGGAACTTGCCTCAGATGCTGGATGTGCGTATATTTTCTGGATGAATGAAAAGGCTTAAGTTTTTGGAGCAGTTGCTTATGCAATTGACTGTAAGCTTTTCCTGGATCAAACTTGCATGCAGGATGCATATAGGGATGTACACTACCAAACTTGCTTTTAATGCTGGATCTTACCTACATTTATCAAAGCGGATTCATTCCCAAGTAACTTTTAGCCCTATGGTGATGAAACTTGCATGGATGGTGCATCTAGTGCACACTACAGACACGCTTTGGATGCTGGATCTGATCTACATTTTCCAGGTGATTGAAAAGTTTAATGTGTTAGAGCTGGTCCTTTTCCTAGTAACGATACGTCCTTGTGTGACTGAACTTGCATTGATGAGGCTTATTACTAGGTTTGCGCATTACCAAATATGCTTTGGAAGCTGTATCTGTCCTACATTTACAGGAAGATTGAACTGTTACAGTTTTTTTTAGTATTCCCAGTTTTACGTATCTATAGATCCTACCTAAACGAAACTCTTATAAATGTTGTAGAGATGTAGGGATGCACACTAGCAGAACATTTGTTTAGTGTGAGACTTTGCCTTACTTATAGATGTTATTCATCGAGGTGAGTTTTGCAATCTTTGATTTCCCATGTATTTTACAGGAATTATTCAATGCACCACCTTTTCTTTTAAGATGATGTTGCTAAGCTTTTATCTCCAATTTCCATTAAGTAATAATGAATAGAAGATTACTTGTTTTCCTTTGGGAATCGATAACTATTTTGTTGACAATATTGATCTTTACGGATAGTAATTGAATTTTTTTATGGCAGGTTACCTCTTGTTATTTACTTATACTGATGCAAGACAGTTAAGTTCTGTAGACAAAGCTGTAATAATGTGTACAAAAAGGTATATTTTTTTAAATTCTTCTATCAGTGTAATCAGTGTTGATATAAAGGAAAACCTTTGTAAGGGTTGGCTTGATTGCAGTTGTGTGCATATAGATCAATTTTAAGCAATAAGGGTCTCTATATCTTTCTACGATGGTTTTTCAGCTGTGATCGACATTGTATTTTATCAAATGTTATACTTTACCTTTGAAAGTAATGTTTGAAATATGGCTTGTCTTTGGCAACCATATTAATTAAGCATAAGTTCTGTGTTTTATAAATAAATAAACAAAACAAATATACACAATCAGGAAATGGAAAATTTATTGGATTTTCTTTTTGTACTATGCAATAAACACCAAATCCTATTGAAGGTGTTCCCAATATTCTCGTTTAATACCGTTCTGTGATGATTAATTTGGAGCGTATACATATAAAGGACAAACTGCGTCACCTCAGTTTATATTGCACATGTTGTTTTTGTCATCACTCATTTGGTTCCACCATAAAAGGTCTATTTAAGACTGTTGCAAATTCTAAAACAGAAATTAATAACGAACACAGGTAAATACCTCCAAAAACTTATAAATATATCATTTTGTAAATTTTGAATTTACTGGGTGGAGGTAAAATTCAAAATTTACAAAATATTACTTTTTTTTTTACTTCCACCCAGTAAAATTAAAATTTACAAGATGATAAATACACATACGTTTGTGAACCGACAACAGGCACATTATGCGTGACTTTTTAATGCCCGTATAGTTTATGATATATATGATATAAAGTACTTACCGTCAAGGTTGATCCTGCCATCACTGTCGAGGTCCGCGGTTTGGAAGAATTCATCCACTTCCTCGTCTGTGATCCCGTTGTCTCCTCGTTGTAGAATCTCTTTAGCTTCCTCCATAGAAATGTAGCCACTTCCATCCTTATCAAAGACACGGAAGGCTGCCTTTACCATGTCTGCCTCCTCGTCATTTGAACGCATTCTAGAGGGCGCGCATTGTAAAAACTGCTCGAACGTGATCACACCATCTACAAAAATGCTAAGATTTAAAAAAATAATTTGTAATATGTTGACAAAAAATCACCATGTAATTGGAGAGTCTGAGTATGACTGGAGATCGCCAAACAGGTATGAAAGACGAAAACAGACATTCTAGTTGATGTTGTCTTGGTTTTCTTTTAGCTTTCTTATTCATTAGCCTTATTTTTTGTGTTTCTTTGAAACGTAGAATATCCATGTGGAAGACAAAAATGTTTTATTTCTCAATATAAATCGCTTAAAATATCTAGTTTGCCTTTCTTTTTTCCTTTTTTTAAGTAATCAAAATGATGGAAATCACAAAATGATTTGTGACTATTCATATCGACTTTCTAGCCAGAAAATTTATTATGATTCTGTCAAAGGATTTTTTTGTTTGTTCGTTTAACGTCCCTTCGAGAATTTTTTTTGTTTGTTTGTTCGTTTAACGTCCCTTCGAGAATTTTTCACTCATATTGAGACGCCACCACTTGCCGATGGAGGGTTGCAAATTTAGACCCATACTCTGCAATTAAAGGCCTTTGAGAAGTGAGGGATCTTCTTGATGCTAGCTATTACTGCGATACAGGACCTCGGTTTATACGGTCTAATCCGAAGGATCTGTCTCCACGTCTCAGAGACGATTCGAACCCGCGACGTAAGGATCACCTCCTTACGCCACAACTCTAGAGCAAACGCTCTAACCACTGCGCCACGCGGGAGAATCAAAGAATTGTAATGAGAAGTCTAAAGCATGTGTATCGTCTGGCTTTCCTCTATTCTTACGCACTAAAAGTTGAAATTAGGATTAGTTAATGTTTTCTAACTATTCATATTAATATAACAAGCAATGGAAACCTTCTCTCTCTCTGTCTCTCTCTGTCTCTCTCTCTCTCTCTCTGCATTCTCACCGTCAGCGCCGATTTCTTCCAACAGTTCTTGCACGTCTTCAGGTGTGGGGTTTTGGTTCATTGCTTGTAGAACTTTCTCTAATTCACTGGCGTCGATCTCTGAATTCCCATTTGTGTCAAATATGTTAAACACGAGTTTCAGGTCTAAAAAAGTATACATTTGAGAGACATTTTTTATTCTTGAATTAAGGAATAGAAAAAAGTCATTGTTGTTGGGTTAATTGGATGGTCTACATTTCAAAAACAATGAGTATAATAATGGTTACCTCGAAGTTGCTCTTCTGTTAATTGTTCAGCCTGAAAATGAGAACTGTGATGTTAACATGGAGAACAGAATGGATTCGGGAGGGGTTTAGGGAGGGGGTTAGGTTACGGAGAATTTAGTTTCAAGGCAGTACTCGCCAGTAATTTTAAAATGAATACAATTGAACATGTCGAATTTTTCCTGGTGTCCACTGGCTTTTAAATGACACTTTATTTATTTTGTTGTTACGAATGATCAGTGTGTATGAAAATGTTATTTACTTTTACTGATCTTTAGTTTAAATATCTAACAAAGTGCTATAAATTGGGACTTTGACTTGAATTAGTTATGCATTGAAAAAATGTTTCCCAAAAGAATTTCCTTCTTCTATCATACGGTACTGAAGCAAAGTTTAATATGGTAAAAGCTTATTAATTATTCCTTATATTAGCTGCCTGTATTAAAAGTACTTTTTTTTTTTTTTTTTACATATTTTCAAAAAATAAAGGAAAATACTACCAAAAAGTTGTATTTGTCTTGCTGGCGATTATTAAAACAATTCTTTTCTTTTAAATGAAAGTTGGCAATTAACTGGATGAACAAAAAACTAATTAAATCATTCTTACCATGGTGGTTGCAAAATCTCGGTCTATAAACCCTGTGACAGAGACTTCCTGTCCTGGTAACCACGAGAAACGACTGTCGTCTGCAAGTCTTGCTCGCGCAACTCTATGTAGACACCAAACAGAGATCTTTAAGAACTTTCGATTATAACAGGTTCATTACAAGATAACGATCGACGACTTTTTTTTTCCTTAGGTTTTGTTTTGATTTATCTGTTTTCAAGTTGTAAAATAATTCGATAACGGATATTTCTTGTTGGGCTAAAATGATTTCGTGACCATTGTTCAATATTTGATATTTAAGTAAAATCAACATGAGGAGGCAAGCTTCTGGGTAATTGTTACCAGAGCACTTAACAATTGCAACATCACATTAGATTTAGCATTGAATTCAATGCCAGCCTCTTTGAATAATGATGTCCAAGGCATAAACATCCATTGTTAATTCCATTATACAGGTGCTAACATTCCAGTGGGATAACCAACCGTAACAATCCAAGAGAGAAATGTTTTCGTAGTATATCGAGGTGCCTCATTGAATTTCGTAGTAAAACATACCAGCCATTTAAGGTTCATATTGAATCAGATTTTTAATTTAATGAATGAATTCTTCCAAATAAAATGTCATGTTAATATTAAGAATATGCTCCGATGATTTTTATTATACCATTATTATTCATTATAATTACATTTTCAACAGTGAAATACTGTAATTTATTTCATACAAGTCTGAAATTATGTAATGTTAACTGGTTTTTATAGCATTTAAATTAGACATGTAAAATTGTAAATAAATAGGGTTTAGTAGTTAATTTGAAGTGCTAGTTCTTTTTGCTTTCTTGTCTTTTTTTCCCTTCAATTTCCTTGGTTTTTTAAAAATATTATTTATTTATTTATTTATTTATTTTTGGACTTTCTAATCTTTTCTTTGTCCCGAGGAAGAGACAAGACTATCCGAAAATTTGAAAATTTTTATTGTTCGAGTCGTTTGTCTTTATTATTATTGCTTTGTATAAATTTCTATCTGTGACCATTTATCTACTTAGTAGAGCCGGTGTAAAGACGAATAATGACCCCCATAGAATAATGACCAGGGGGTCATATTTCAACGACAAAAAATGACCCCTCAGCCGTAGAAAAAAATAAATATTTGTAGAAAAAGAGACCTAGGGGTCATTATTTTATGTGTGCGTCCTATAAAAAATTGACCCCCATTGAAAAATGACACCCTTTCCAACAGAGTGCATGATACAGAATTTATAACGGGTGATTGATGTCAAGGTTTGAACCTCAATGTTTGATATTCTTCTTTATGCCCCTTTTGACCAACACTGGACGAACGTGCAATTAAAATGCAATATAACCGCATTACATTTACCCGCATATTTCTATCTTTTAAGCCTATTGTGTTCTCAGCACATATTGAAAATCGCAAAATGGCTACTATTGGTTATAACTGTTAACGTAATTTCCCTTTATGACTGTCTTCCATTTGTTTCATATTTGGATATTTGACTGATTATAGACATTCATAGCTAAATAACAGACAAGCGGGATGTTCTGGCTTTTCATTGGTAAACATCTCTCCTAAAATAATCAGCATGCTTTGAGTAGGAGCAATTTTAAAAAAAAAAAATGAAGGGGGACAAAGAATGAGATAAGTTTTCAGAAATAAATACGAAAAGTTACGCGTATGCAATGTAATATATATGTATATTTTGAATGACATAAAAAGTCGTGCAAATGAGGTAGAATGCATCGAAAATGACGTAATAACTCGCGCGAACGACATACTGTGGATATATATACATTGTATTTCTTAATGAAAAAATGGTGAAGATAACGAACAGTGGTTATTTTAAAATATCCACAAGCCGTACAATTTTGTTAACAGGGCATAAAAAGGACCCCCGAAAACTGCAGAGGTGGGATCAGGTGCCTAGAAAGAGTAAACATCTCCTGTTGTCCCGTCACACCCGCCGTGAGCGCTATGAATAAATCAGGTAAACGGGACATTCCGTTGTCGAATTTAGTATAAAAACAAGGGCCAAACAATTGGCCCAATTATAGGTTATATTTGTTGACAGGATCATTGATACGACCATTGAATCTATGAAATGCCGACTTTAAACGAGGTTGTTGAGACCCCTGTAACATCAACTTACATGTATCTGTCAGAAGCCTGCCTCGATTTAAAAATTAATCGTGCTCTTGGGTATCGAATAAGTTGATAGACGTAAACATTATATGCAAATGATTGCAGAATATTACTTAATCATAAATAAGGAAAATTGACAATAGAAAAGGCTGAAGTCATCCCGTTTGTCAGACAATTTAGTTGTTAGTTGGTCTTTATCGTCTATAGTCAGTAGAACGTCCAAATATGAAGCAGATGTGACAAATATAAGAAGGACATAAAATTTCTGCATGAAATATATGGAGATAACGAACAGTATTCAAGCTCAAAAGTCCATTAATCAATACAAAATGGGAGCAGAGCAAACACGGACCTCCAAAACATCAGAGGTGGGATCAGGTGCCATGGAGGAGTGAGCATCCCCTGCCGACCGGTCACACCCGCCGTTTGCTCCTAGTCATGATCGGGAAATAACGGAAAAATCCGTCGACAATTCAGTGTGTAAATAATGGCCTAACAATTAGTATGAAAAACGTCAGTCAGCATTTGACTCAATGAAAAATTGTATTTGCTGACAAGGTCATTGTATCGACCATAGAACTTACGAAATGATGACTTTAAACGAGACAGCTGATATTCTTGTTACATCAACTTATTTGTCAATAATTTACCTCGTTTTAGAAATTGTACATACGTAGAACATGCTCTTGCGCATCGAATCAACTGAGAGATATATACCCCGTATGCAGGTGATGAAGGTATATTGCTGCATAAGTAAGGGAAGTTGACGATTGAAAAGTTAAAGTCATCACGTTTATCATAAAGCTTGGTTGTTAGATTACCATTAACGTCTTTTTCAAGTAAAATATCCAAATATGAAACAGATGTGTCAGACTCTGTGGTATCTTTTATCTCAAGTTCACAAGGATATATCGTATCGACATAAGAATGGAAATAGCCATTGTTAATTGACAATACGTCGTCGATATATCTAAATGTCGAGTTGAAGGCCACAGCAAGTGTTTTCTTCTTTTCACGTACAAGATTTTGGACAAATTCTGCTTCATATGAATACAAAAAAAGGTCTGCTAATAACGGGGCGCAATTGGTACCCATGGGAATTCCAATAGATTGTTAGAAGACCTGGTCTTCAAAAACCACATAGATATTGTCAATCAGAAACTCAAGCATCTTTTTAATGTCAACTTCAGAGTACTTGTGTGAACAATCAGAATGTTTTTTAACAAAATAATTTTGCAAATGACCAATGACAAGGTAAGTATATTTACGAGTTCCATTTTTATTGAAAAAGCAGCTGTCAATGATATCAAAAAGCCTGGACTTTAATTTATCGTGGGGAATGGTTGTGTACAAAGTTGAAAAGTCGTAAGTTTTTAAGCTGTTGATTTTGGTAAAATCTTGTGATTTCAAATTTTCCAAAAGTTCCTTGGAATTTTTAAGTATCCACATCTGATTTACACCACTTCTCGAATATATTGTTGCACAGTACTCTTGAAGTTTCTCCTTATATATGTAATATCTCCTTATATATGTAATATGTAATATCTTATAATTTGCTTTCAATTTTATTTATAAACAGTGGTCTACTCTATGGGAATTTCTTTTCAAGTATGTAGAAGTAATACAGGAAAATCCCAGTATAATGTACATTCAAGTCTGTTAACATGGTCGTCTGAGAATAGGATACATACACGTAAGAGGAATATTTTTTAATCCACTTTAAAACAGTGATACATTTGTCAAATCAATATGGAAACATTTTCAATACAGTGTATATTTCAGTAGATTAATGTTTTCAATTTATAATTAAAGACAGACTATTTTATTGGCCTTCAAGGTGAATACATGTATAAGGATTTATTTTTCCTACATTGAACTAAAAATAGATTGAAAACAATTCTGAAAAATTATTTCACCTGCATCTGAATTCTACTCAAGTGAACATAATATTCAAGCACAAAGAATCGGAGAAGAGGAAGGTATTGTTCCCCCTTTTCTTAATGTAAATTTTAGCAATTTCTAATTTGAAAATTTTCATTGAAAGTCTTGTAACCACCCCCTCTTTCTTATACAGTATAGTTAAAAAAAATCTCCTACTTCAGTGAACGAGATGAACATAACATTCAAGCACATGGAATCAGGGATGGGGTGTCCACCCCCTTCCATTTCCATGAAACTATTTTTTTTTGGCTTGAAAATGGTCATTGCAAGTCTGTTTGTCCTGCCCCCAACTTTTTGATACAGTAGAGCAACAGAAAATCCCACTTACATCAATAAACTTTTTGAGGGGTTCATCAAAGATTTTTTTAACTAAAAGTATTTTTTGCCTCTTATAATGCGCCATTTCCCCTTTCGATGCTATGCCTGACATTCATTTTTTCTACATTGCACCAAAACTAGATTTCAAATGCAAAATTAATACTGGTTATGCTTATGTTATTCTTTCACAGTGTTTGGTTAGGACTTGAGCAAATGTAAACAAGAAACTTGACATGTTTGCTTAATCAGTTTGTATCAATTTAATCGTTGAATCATATAATAAAACAAATTATTGCTGTTTCTTCTGTCAGGACGATCAATGATTTTCCACCATCGAAAAACAATGCTCTCCTCGCCCTTTGGACTCGATAAATCTTTAACTCCACTAGATTCTGCATCATTGAATTGACCTTAGAAACAGCAATGATTGTATAATGTAATGACATCAATATATCATCGATTTATTCTCAATGAAGCTCAAGTGAGCATTTTGGCCAACTGGTCTCTTGATTTATTATTTTTATTTTGCCCCCTAAAAGTTTCAACTTTAATTCGCTTTAATTCACAAGGGGTCATTATTCTACAGGAGTCATTTTTCTTCACGTGGGGTATGCATATTTTTAGGGTGATGACACTTTTTCTACGGGCAAAAGGGTCATTTTTTGACGTCGAATAATGACCGGGGGTCATTTTTCGCCGTTGAATAATGACCGGGGGTCATTTTTCGACGACGAAAAATGACCCCCGGTCATTATTCTATGGGGGTCATTATTCGTCTTTACACCGGCTCTGTAGGATATATATATGTAGTGTTGTTGGTATTCTAGTGCTTGTACAGAAAGACAGATTTTAAATAGATTTGTATTTAAAAATTAAAAATAAGCCCTACGAATATACATAAAAATTTAGAAGTTCTAATATTGTTTACATGGAAAATGCTGTGAAAATTTATAACTCATAAATGTTTCACTATACAAATATAACAGGTAGAAAGTTCAATACATCAATTATTGAGCCGGACATCCATCATTTTGATATGATGCCACTGATACAGGTCAAAAAAAAAATATTGGACTGCTTACATAACACCTAAATAGAACTTTTTAATTTTGGCGTCATAGAAATACTTGAAATAAGTGTGCACACTTTAAAGTTGTCCTTCCATATAACGATACAGATTTCTCAACTTTTACTAAGCTTGAATGAGAAGATGATTGTTATCTAAGGTTTATAAACTCATGTTGAAAATGTCGATATTAAACTTTTTTCTTTTTTATGAATTTCTAATACATATATATATATATATATATATATATATATATATATATATATATATATATATATATATATATATATATATATATATATATATATATATATATATATTGCTGATCTTGTATTACTGGAAACAAGAGTATACCAAAACGTTTTTGTATTCATGTCTGACTTAAACCTCACATGCAGGTGACAGTGGAAATGAGGGATGTTGGCGATAAAGAAGTTGAAGTTATCACGTTTTAACAGTTTATTTGTTTTGTTTGACATCAGTACCTTTCTCTAGTATATGATACAGATCTGGCAAACTTTGTGGAGTTTTTTTTAATTAGAGATCAATGGGATATATTGAATCAAAGTATGAATAAAAATGAATATTGTTAATCGATAGAACGTCGCCGATATATTTATATGTCGAATTGAAGACCAGAGCAGAGACTTCTACATGAAGAGTAGATGTTTTTGAATAAATTCTGCCTCATAAGAATACAAAAACAGGCCTGTTAATCATGAGGCACAATTGGTACCCATGGAAATTCTAACAGATTGTTGGAAGACCTGGCCTGGAGGTTATAAAAATTTTTGAGTACATACTCCGTGTTCAAACTCATACTCCATTCTCCAATACCATAAACATACTCAAAATTTATATACAACTTAGAGTGGAATTTTGGAGCATGAGTATGGTTTTGGAGTACGGAGTATGAGTTTGAGCATGGAGTACGTACTCAAAAAGTTTTATAACCTCCAGGCCAGGTCTCCAAGACTACATAGATATTTTCAATGAAGAATTCAAGCATTTTCAATATCAGCCTCAGAGTACTTATGTTTAGAATCAGAATGGTTTTTAACAAAGCAAGGTTGTAAATGACCAATGACATTATGATAATAAAATTTGCGAGCTTCATTTATATTGAAAAAGCAGCTGAAGTTTCTCTCTTATCGTCGTTAATATTTTGGTGAGGAGAAATAAAAGAGGCTTGGTAGAATATTCGCTAGATCCCGCTATGAATTTTTGTTTGCAAGGAGTTTTATTGAAGTTTTGGAATCCAATATAGGAATGAATTTGGTTGGGATTATTGAAAATATTTAATTCTGACGTGACTTTGAAGAATCTCTTCCTTAGAAAGGAAACTATGGATATAAGTTGGATTACCACTTGTTGAATTAAATCAAAGTTCTTCTAATATGCAATTGTAATAATGATCCTTACAAAGACCGTGTTGTTACCTGCTTTGTCATTTGGGACCAGTACGTAATGATCATGTAATCTGTCTAATTCTTTACTCACTTATAAGCTTCTGAATTAATGAGGACAGAAGGATAGATGGTTCTAATATTGCACCTCAACCGCTCAACACGAGATTTTAACATTACCTTCTTTTTTATCCATGAATATCAAGAAACAGTCAATTTCATAGAAGGCTTATAGTACCTCTACTCAGTAATCAAGATTTGCCCTGAGTGTCAGCTCCAATGGTTGATGTATGAGCCTGGTTCTTTCTCCAGAATAACAAAATTTTATTTTCAAAAGAAGACGCATGATCGGTAGCTTCAATTTTATTTTTGCAAAAAATGCACTTCATTTAGCCATAGTTATAGGTATTTCATAATGTCATTCTCATTGAATAACGTTGTTATTTACAAATACTTCATACTGAAGAAATTATTAAATGAGTTGTTTGTCTTCATAAACATTAAATGAGTATACATTCACAGAACCTTTGTCAAAACGAGAATACCTTAATATTTCAATACGCTGACTGTTAAGTTCCTGCTATACACTCTTATGATTTCATCTTAACACCAGAACGGTATGTTTCACACCTTTGCAGGCAATAGCTATAGTGTATTTTCTTATTATGAATTACAGTGTATTTGAATCAAGACACACGTGTAAGGATTGGTTTTTCAGCTCCCAAGTTGAGCTAAATTTATAACCGTTTCTTTGAGTTCAACAACAGTAAAGATTATATTTGTGCTCTTAAAAGTTTTACATTTGCATTATTTTGCAACACTAATTGTACTGTTTAGATTATTTTTTGCGGCCTATTTCCCTGTGAATTTAACTGAATCGTAACATACTACGGTAAAAGTAAGCAATAAAATGATTTAGTCAGGCAGCATTTTCAATTCGTTACATTTAATTTAAGATGAAATCTTATGTTATAGACATTCATTTATTTTTCAGGTTTTTTGTAAATTTCATTTTTTTTTTTTTTTAAAAACCGATTGTTTATACTTTTATAAAAATCATGAGATAAGCTTGATAAATGTAATCTGAACCCATATAATATAATTCTGTTTTTTTTTTATTTATTAATCTTTTGTTTGTTTGTTTGGTTGGTTGGTTTTTTGGGGAGGGGGTTGATTTGATAAACAATGCAGACAATGTCATCATAAATTATATAAAAATATCTTAAGTTCACTTTTTTAAATAAAGTATAAAATAACATGCAAATAATTTATACAAAGAATGTATTGTATGAAAGATTAAGTACAATTACTTTATTGGTATAAAAACTGATATTTTAACGAAACAAGTAAAACCTGAAATACATAAATGTTAATGACATTAATAAATAGCAATCCAAAATACTATTATTGAATGAAATTTGGTCAAAATATTCTCATGTTTGATTGATGTAGAGGGAAAAAGACTACTTTCCTCTGCATGAATACACTTCAAACTGTAGCACACATTACTGGCTGTTCAGTAGTCACGTTGATGGAGTAAAATTTCACTGATGTATCAAGTATTTAAAATCATACCCAAATAAAGTTATGGTAGTATACTCTAGGGAATCCAGATATAGTATTTACCTGTAGAATCACGTATGTTTACAAGTATGGTCACAAAAAAAATCCCGCTTCCAAGTTGCGGTGAAAAAGCAGTTTAATCTTGCATCATTCTTATAAATTCTGAAATAGAAAAAGAAAATCAAGTTTCAGCCAATGTTTAGAATTGGACTTATTTTGAAATACCCATGAAAAAGTACATTAAGCTTTAATTGTTGGAGCAATGCTGCTTTGAAATGTCTACATAAGATTATACCCCTTTTCCCTGAACGATAGTATTTAAAATACTATAATTCAGTACACGTTTTTTTCTTTCCTTAATAAGTTTGCTTTTTCTTCGTGTTGTATTTTTTAGTTGATCATTCATTGATTTATAGATATTTTCAAAGACTTAGTTTTCTTAGAAACCGAATCATTCAGCTTGTATCGTCGATTTTTTGATTTTATATTGTGCATTGCCTTCATTAATGCAACTGTACCATATTTCATATTGATAGTTTTGTTTATATATAGGCTTTCTTGGTCCTGTTTTTTTTTCTTCAGAAAGCATACCAAAAATTGTGCATCGAACAGTTATGGCGATGTTATTCAGGCGGGATCAAGGATTTTTTTCCTTGGGGGGGGGGGGGGGGGTCTATCCCAGTCAAAAAAAAAAAAAAAACATTGTAACCCAAAAATTTCTTGACAAGCAAAAAAAAACTAAATAAATAAATTAATAAATTCCCTACCGAAACGTATTAAACCCAGAAGATTTCTTGACATAGAAAGAAAAACGTAGAATCCATTTTCGCGATGATGATGGCCGGTGGGGTCCAAAGTTATTTTTTATTTGCTTCGGTATATACTTTAATAACTCTGCAAATTCCAGTATACACCGGGAAAAAAACACCCAATTCTTCTTACAAAACGCCGAATTCTCACTCTCCAACCCCGTTTTTTGATTACGTGTGCACGCTTTGTTGGTATGTCTTCTTTGCAATCTTTTGAAAGAACAACTTATCTGCTAAAGTGTCTATTTTAAAAGCAAGTTTTGTTTTTTTTACTAGTATTATCCCCGACCCACCCACCCCCCTCCCCTAGATCCGCGCATGTTATTGAACAAATTCTTCAAAAATGCAATGCATTTGGTGATTTTAGGATTGATATTTCAAACTTTGGGGTTTGGGGGACAGCAGTTTGCCGATACGCCTGTCCCTCCTCCCCCTTCTATGACTCTTGAGACTTGTTACCTTCGTAATCAATTTTTCCGTCTTTGTCTAAGTCGGCCGTTTTAATCATGTCCTCTGCCTCTTCCTGTGATAGTTTATCCCCTAGTTTCATCATGGCTTCTTTTAGCTCCTCGGCGTCGATTTTTCCACTGCCATCTTTATCAAACATCTTAAAAGCGTCCATCATCGAGTTTTGGAATTCATCTGGATTCTTATAATTTTCAATCATGTATTTTTCAAACTCTTCATATTCTATTTTTCCATTACCTAAACCAAGAAAGACCATTTTATTGCATTAAAGTTTTTATTCACAGTAACATGAAGTTAAAGTTTTCTCTAATCAAAACAAGGTGTGTTTGTGAAACACTGATGTCCCCGTAAGGCAGCGTAAGATCAGCCCCTAAGCTTAACCCCAAGATCAAAGTCATAAGGTCAAAAATGTTGCTTCTTAAAGAAAGCAATATACCATTATCACCTGTATATGGGGGTTTGTGTCTACTCGATATGCAAGAGCACGCCCTACGTAAATTGATTTCTAGAAAGGAGACAGGCTACTGAGTTGATAAAAAGTAATAATATAAGGGTATCAACAACTTCGGTTAAAGTCAATATTTCGAAAATTCTACGCTCAATACAATGATCTTGTTTGCAAATATACTGTACTATCTGTCGTTAAGTAGAATGTTGACTGCATGCCTTCCATACAAAATGTTATATTCATACTGAATTGTCCACGGATTTCTCCGTTTACCCGATCATGACAAGGGGTACATTACAGTTGTGACCGGTGGGCAGGGGATGTTCACTCCTCCTTGACACCTGATTCCACTTCTGATATTTTCAGAGATCCGTGTTTGCTCATAATTGGACTTTTGAACATGATAACTGCTTCACATGATTACCTTCACATTTCATTCATACATTACAATTATTGAAAAAATCATCTATCAGGCTCATTATGAGTATAATGAAAAGTTAACCCTCCTACAAAATTATGAAAATCATGACCCCGGGGTTCAGGATTTAAGCCGAGGGAGGGGCAAAGCTGGCCACATATTCAAATGTTCAATATTCATTATGATCAGCAATTAGCTTTCCAACCGAATTGGGAAATCTATGTCCCCTTGGTTCAGGGATCAGAGTAGGGCTAAGTTAGTTACATTTTGGAAATATATTACACCTTTGAAAATCTCTCTTTCTGGACATCTAGCTGCAAACCGTTTAGATTATTATCTCGCTAACAAATTTGAGAAAAACATGTCATACGAAACCAGGGTTGAGACTAAATTGGGGACAAGTTGGTAATGTTTTGAAAATACACCTTTGAACATCTTTACTTAAAGACAAAAATGGCGTATTTTTTATAAGTTCAGATAACCAAAATTTAAAATATCTTTCTATTTGATTTATTACTTTATGTAAAGATAGGACTTTTGAATCACACAATTTAAATCAACAGCGTTTCAAAGATATCAAAAAAATAAAACAATAACCGATTTATTTACCGACTCCACGTTTAAATAAAAGACACATTTAAAGTCATTTTAATTATAGAAACGTGTGGTTATTCGAGTTCAAAATCGGTGAAAATTTTAATTTGAAAGTAAATAACATTGTATCATGAATATCTACACACAATCTCGTATTATCATTTTTTAACTCAGATACACCATATATAGCTTTAAGGCAAAGCAGGCAAATTGTTCGTATGACTTTGAAGAGTGTTTCACCCTCACAAAATTATGCATTTACGTATGTCCTCTTGTAACATTTCAAGGTTGGGACTACCTTGATCTTAGATCTTTGAAAATTCATATAATTCAAACTATACTTCAAATATGATGGAAATAAGCTACAAGTCCTTTTCAAAGGCTTTTTGATTCGCGTATTTCGCCTTTTAAAAGGCGTTATAAAGCATTTCCCTTTGCCTTATTATTCCTTTTGTATATGCGTTTGTTTGTTTGTTGACTAACGTTCCTCTCGAGAATTTTTCACTCATATGGAGACGCCACCACATGCCGGTGGAGGGCTACAAATTTATACCTATACTCAGCACTCAGGGCCATTGAACAGTGAGGCATCTTTTTTTGTGCACCTACTGCGACACGGGATCTCGTTTTCTACGGTCTCATCCTAAAGACCCGCAGTGGATTCGAACCCGCGACCTAACGATCAGCTCCTTACTCCTCGACTCTATAGCAGACGCTCTAATCACTGCGCCACGTGGGCGACTTTGTATAGGCGTAATAAATCTAAAAAGAAAACATTGATGTTGCCATCAATTGTCGCCCGGGAAATAAATGAAGTAAATTTTGATCATCAAACCGCTTCGATTTGTGTGATAAAGTAATACCTCTGAATGATTGTGACTTAATCGACAAGATTTACGGAAAGCTTCTAATCGGATGAAAATCGAACCAAAACGATGCCGTTTTTAACTTTATCATCTCCTCAAGTAACTGTTGGCTGCATAAAATATAAAGTAGAATCAGACACGTGAATCACCTATCATCAAACATTTATTTGACTTAATGAATGTAAAAAAAAATGTGTAACGTACGTTTTTATGCGATAAGTAAAATTTGATGTTCTAAAAAAGGGACCTGTCCTTTTGCCGATAGTAAATGATAAGCAACTTTGTATATTACGTATAAAAAACAAATAATTTTTTAAGATGCACATCATGGAAGTAAATATATTGTGTATCTCGTAATTTATAAAGGGAAAGAACATTCTGATGTGTTATCTTTTTAATGCCTACCTTTAATTATGTTTAACTTCTCCCATCTCAATCCAATCCACTAAAACTTAAACTTATAAAGAGAGAGAGAGCAACCGGTCTTCCAGGCTGCAATAATGCCTTTTTAGCTCACCTCAACGAAGTTGGGGGAACTTACGTAATACCGACGGCATCCCAGATTAAAGTTTTTGGAGCAGATTTCTTTTCAAGAACTTCTATCCATATATTAATCAGAAATGCATTGGGGATGCTTCTAGTATGTTTCATTTACCAGTGGAGGTTTCAGATGCTGCAATTTCAGCTAAAGAATGACCAGGTTAATGTTTTTGGAGCAGGTTAAAGTTTTTGGAGCAGGTCTCATTTCCAAGTAACTATAAATATTGACCAAACTTCCATGGATGATATATCTAAGAATACACTCTACCAGGTTTGCTTCGGATGCTTGATCTGACCTACATTTTCCGGATGTGTGAACAGGTTAAAGATTTTGGAGCAGGTCCATTCTAAAGTAACTATAAGCACTATGTTGACCAAACTTGCATTGATGACTCCGGATGCTGGATCTGACCTATATTTTCCGGATAAGTGACCAGATTTACGTTTAGACAATATACAGATGTTTTGTGATTAAAAAAAATAAATAGCTTGAACAGATACTAAAAAATAATAATGGGCGAGTGCAAAGCACCTATTACGCTGTCTAGGATGGGAAGGGCAACCTCCTATCCTCAACCCCCTCCCTTCCCTCCTTGACCTACCCCTGCGAAGTTTTCTTTCTTAGTTTTTCTACCTTATTTGATTCCTCGAGAAAAGTTTTTCTACCTTATTAGATTCCTCGAGAAAAAGAGATTGAAAGAAGATACTATCCCTCACGAATATGGTATTTTAAGTTATTTATTCTGCCTCTCATCCTCTATTGTGTTGAGTGTATACCGGTTAATCATGTAAGCGCCCCTTATACCATACCACTAAATACTATTAAGGTTTTCTTATCTATTATCAATTCCGTAACTCCGTACATAACACAAGTTTAAATGGCAAAATAAGCCGCCCACTGTAAAAGTTAGCGCTTCTCGCAGAAGTCCATTTGCCCTACCTGGACTAAACTTGTACGGATGATACATCTAATGATGCACACTACTGGACTTGCTTCGGATGATGGAACTGACCTATACTTTCCAGATGAGCGAGGAGCAGTTTCTTTCTAAAGTGACTATAAGACCTATGCTAATCAACTTTGCACTGAGGATACATTTATTGATGCACTCTACCAGGGTTGCTTTGGATGCGGGATTCGACCTACATTTTCCAGATGAGTTAACAGGTTAAAGTCTTTTTAGCAGGTCCATGACCAAGAAACTATAAGGCCTACCTGAACCAAACTTGCATGGATGATGCATCAAGGGATGCACACTATTAAAGTTGCTTCAGATGCTGGATTTGACCTACATTTTCCAGATAAGTGACCAGGTTAATTTTTTGGAGCAGGTCCATTACCAAGAAACTATAAAACCTATCTGAACCAAACTTTCATGGATGATGCATCAAGGAACGAACACTCTCAAACTTGCTTCAGATGCTGGATACTTACATTTTCTGAGAGTGACTAGTTTATAAAATTTTAAATAAATCCATTTCCAAGTAACTACAAGCCCATCAGACCAAAACTGCATTAATGTGGTACATAGGGATGCAGCACTAGATTATTAGTTTAGCATGGTAATTTGCCTTAGTTAAACACAACACTCTTTAGTCTCTGATTAGGGTGAATTAAAAAAAAAATGACCACCAAACTGAAATTTTTTGGAAAAATTCAACTACTTTCAACATATTTTTCACTTATATCATCCTATTCCACATGCATTCTAGTTTAAAATCCTGAAGTGGCAATAAAATAGACAATTGGATAAAAAAAGTTTCGGAATTTTTATTAGTAAAATTTCTTTTGAAAAAAGAAAATATCATTACACCTTAAAAGACTTTCAAAAATACATAATCACAAGAAATTAATAGTTTTTTATGCTTCAAAATGGTAATAGGGTATAAATGATTAAATCTAGACCTTGATTGAGTATCTTCTCTTGTATATGTAACAAAAAACTGGCTTTTTTGATTGTTATTTTACATTAGTTTTTCAATTCTGGTTTGAAAAGTTTTAATATGAAAAAAATATGAAGCAATAAAATTCCCCAAAATTCACTTTTTTGTCCGTTTAAGTCAATTCTTTAAATCTAAACCAAAAAAGAATTCTTATATACGAGTTCTCTTACAAAAAATACTAGATTTTGAAGTGACCCTATGTTACATTATTGTGTTGCACTCCATACATCTGATATGTATTTTATTTAACATTGTTTAAAAATTATAACACACAATAACCCATTCTTACTTTGTAAATCAATTTGTTGTTTTGATATTTTTCATCGTTTACGCCAGGTTTTTCATATTTTGAAGACCTTAAAACATGATTATTTGCAAAGTGTAATATATATAAATTGTATTGAAAATATTGATAATATTATGTGAAATGATGAAAACTATTCCCTGAATTGACTGTAAAATTTCTGTAATTTGTTGATAGACATAGTGTTTTGAACATCAAATAGTATCAAACATTTTTTTTCAACTTATTTTTTAGTAAAGATAGTTAAAAAGCATTGGTAATTATAAAGCAGTTTTGTTGCACTCCTGACTGCAGTAAAATTTAAATTTAAAACCATACAACACAAAAATTCATAAAGTGTTGGAAACATCAAGTGGTAATGAAATTGTGCAATATTTATAGCCAAATACTTCAGTATTAAAACAGATGAAACTATTCAAAATTCGCATTTTATCTGGAATTATTCCCTATTTATGCCAAAAAACTAGTTTAAATGTATATTTAGAAGATAAAATATATTTTATAGCATATTTTCCTTTAGAGGACAAACACAGTAACCCACCAGAAAAATTCTAGTCATCATTTTTTCTTTATTTTTATTCTTATTGGATGATGTATAATTCTAACATATTTGTTGCACTCCTGACCAAAAGCATTGGGGCCGTTAAAGTGGAATTGTGAAGTGAAAATTACATAAGAACTTGTTCTGCTGTTTCAGTGAAGCTGAGGAAGAATTACTTGAATTTTATGACATTTTAATGTGTTTATTTTTAATTTTCATTAAAAAAAATCACAAAAAGATAAAAACACATCTGAATTGATAAAATTGAAAATGGAAGGATTTTAATAATAAAACTGTCAATAATTTAGTATTAAATTATACAAAAAGATCATTATTAATTAATGAATACTTCTAAGCATGAATAGAAGTGTGTTCGTCACACAACTTGAATCTTTAAAAAAAAATGTGTTGCACTCCTGACCATAGAAATATAGATTTGAAGCACAGACAGATCCTGTAATTGATAAATCTATTTGGTAAAAATGTTCTTTGTGTCTTTATTTTCCAAAAAAAAAAATCAGAAAATCATATAATGATAATAGTTTTTTCATGCTTGGGAGCAAAACATCAAATGTTGCACTCCTGACATTATTGGGTATGCACATATACTTGACTCTCATTAATGCTGCTTGTGATTTATATAAAATTTTTAAGTTTTAAAATGTATATAAGTTATTGTTTTACACTTTGAAAATTCTTTTTTGTCTTAATTTTCTTTCAGAATTTTACAACTGATGTTTTTTTGGCAACACTACATTTTTCTGTTGCACTCCTGACATGGTATAACATTTTTTAAACATCAGCCATGACCACAACTTGATTAAACAAAAGTTACTACAGTCCACATTTAAAGCTCAATACTTTGAATTTTATCAGGAAAGTCTTTATTTTCAACATAAAGCATTATTATTTATTTCACAGATCTCCAAAAAATATTGAATTTTCAAAATGTCACAAAAAGGTGTTGCACTCCTGACAATTTTAGCATCATTATTGGGCATAACTTTTTTGTTAATTGAGATATCAACGATATTTAGACACTATCTAAAGATCATTGCCTGTATTTTTAGTGTGGGTTAATAAATATGCGTTTCGTCATTTTTTTTTAATTCACCCATTACCTAGTTTAAGAGTCGTAATAACGCCTTCTTTTGAAAGGTTTTAACGTTCTAATGCACTTCATCTCGCTTTCTTACACCATTTTACAGGAAAAGGCCTAATAATGCCTTTTCAAAAGGCGCAATAATGCTTATTACGCCTTTTGAAAGGCACAATAATGCCATTTTCGCGTTATGACGCTTATTCACTTTACGTTATTATGTCCCTTTATTTTGCGTTTTTGACGCTTTTCAATTTTTTTACAGTCGTTTGTTCTTATAGGATTTCGTACCTGTGAATTTACTCAAATCAGATGAGGACATTGCGATTAATAACTGATAGCCATTTTACAAATTTGGAATTGAGCGTTCGGACGTTAAAAAGTGCAAAACGCCTACCCAGGCACTGGACCGTAGTTTTTACAGATTAATTTTTAAATTACTCTAGCTTTTGATACCTAATGTATCAGAAGCCTAAAGCTTAAAGCTTAAAGCATGTTTTAAAGATTTTATTTTAACCCTCACCGAGATTAGAATCCAAACAGTAGCTGAAATAGTGTGTGCTCTATCCTATAGTAATTTTCTAAAGTAATCAACAGACAGATGCTATAAGCTTAATTACAGGGGTAATTACCGTTAGTATCGAGGCGCTTCATTAGCTGTTGTACCTCTGCCTTGGTTGGGTCTTGTTTAAAAGCTCTCATGATAGTCAGAAGCTCTCGGGTGTTGATATAGCCGCTGTTATCTTTGTCAAACATGTTAAAGGCATGTCTGAAGTCTGGAAAATATGCAAGACTTCCTATTGTTTGTATTACTTAGTATTATCTTATATTTTCTAATATGCGCTTTTTGATGTTTAAAGATTATTGCTTCTGTATCAATTAGAAGTAGCCTCAATGTATGATATCAAGTCTGCGTTATTGTCAGAGGTTATTGATTCTCGTATATTTACATTCAGTGTAATTTTCTTTATGAAAACATTGGAAATCTACATTATTCAACCCCCTAAAACACATACGAATTCTTGTCACATCGCCGTAGAATACACAATGGGGACTACATACAAGATACACCAAAATGTATATTGTTTGGCTCAATTTAATTAAAAACAAATTCCCTATTAAATTGTTGTAAAAATAAACCAATTGTACATTTAGAATTTTAAAATTTGTCACTTTTGCGCTCACAATATTCCTTTGCAATATATAATTTTCCACTTCAAAATGGATCTTACTTATTTAACCACACCAGTTTGGAAAGACGTTAAATTTATAATTAAGATGAATGAAAATAACATTTATGAAGAGAGAAAATTAGAGAATATAAATATAAGCATTGAATTCTTATATTTGGATGTCGTCGGTTGTACAAAAGCACTGTACTTGCCGACAAATCATCATAACAAATGCAATATCATTCTAATTTAGAAATAATTGATTTCAGGTAAGTAGAAATCTCATGAAGCACACGTATAAAATTTATTTTCTCTTTTTAAAAAAATGAATTGATTAAAATAGTCAAAACGTATACATTAAATAATCAGAAATGTACACTAGAATTGATTCTAGAGACAAGAACGAATTATAATTGATCTCACATCCCGTCTCTGCAACGGCTATAAATAATTTCTATTGAAAGAATTCTAGGAGGGAAAAACATTTTTCTGTGCATGCATAATTTACAACTTTGAAAGAAAATTCAGTAATATATACAGCAAATACGTGTCTAATGATTGAGAATCGTGACAGAAGTCAATCAATAATCACATCCGGTATTTCGAATTTAAAAGAACTCTGTAAACGTTGCCATTGAAGGAAAAATGTGTAAAAATTTCCATATTTAAACAACAGAAAGTAATATATGTACCTTTCTTCTTCTCCTCTGGCAACCCACTCTGTAAAAATGAGGTATAAACACGAACAAATACAAATCTTATTAGAACTAATTTATTTCTACTTTTTGTTTAATAATAATTTGTGTGACATAAAGGCCTAAATTAACATGAAGAACTCTGTCACGGTTCTAAAAGTATGTTACCTGAAATTATGGGTAGTCGTAAGGGTGAAATCGAATCGCTTACCATGGTGTTTGTTTCAGATAAAACACACAGGTCCTCTCAGGCTTTGAGCATCCTAATCAATGCCAAACAGTCAAACACGTCTCGCTTAGTAGGTATCAGTTTGTATTTCCAATGGTATTATACGCCACATTGGGCTTTTAAGCTAAATATCGGTCTCAATGCTTGTATTACAGAGGATGGTATCATCAAATGAAATCTTGTTTAATATTGACGATAAGGGGATATTGCATGGAACAGTAAATTTTCCAGACCTTTAATAAAAGATGTTAAAGGTATCTCGTGTATTTGTAAATATTTGAAATACTCATTCCATGCATACCTCGTATTAAGCCTAACATTTTCCGGACTATGATTGGAAGTACATTAACAATAAACCGTGTATGCTATATTTTTCAGTCTGATCACCAGCAAATTTATCTGAATCTGGATTATTTTACTGAACTTTAGAAATATCTGTACTTGATAGAAATATATTTAGGAAATACTTTCCACTATAGCTAAAAAATTCTTGATAAAATGACCAAAAAAAACCCCCCAGATTTAATATATTTGAGAATTTAAGGAAGAATACTTGGGTGACGGTTGTGCCAGCATTATTTTGTCATGGAGTTTTTTGTACTGTATTCCAAAATTTCCAGAAAGAAATTCTGATAATTTTTCCTGTTGCATTGAAAATGATTTGTATGGATACTGCATCTAGGATGATAATATGATATAGACAAATATAAATTACAATTACAAACAGCTCCTCTCTGTCCACTACAACTTAATATTATCACATAAATAGTATGTCCAAGAACTATTGTTCACATCACAACTTGGCCTCGTTCGGGTGATTAACAAACACATCATGTGTAAATGAGTTACTAAGTTTTTTTTCGAACAATAAGATTCCTTAGTAGCTATTAACTTCACGTGGGTTGAACGTAGATGTACATGAATGATTCTATTTCAATTGTCAACTTTTCATATGTGTAACTAAAAATATATAATAAACAAATTTGGTTTGCGTATGAAATATTGTCTCATGAATATTACGTATGAAATATTGTCTCATATATACGAGGGGTGATCAAAAAATTCTCGAACTAATTGAATAACTCCCATAAAAGAAATAAAATTAGATTTCGGTGTTTATTATTTTTTTTAAAGTAGTCCTCTCCGATTTTAATGCACATCAGCAACCGTTCTGCCCATGCGCGATTCACGTGATCCAGGCGGTCACGTGACATGCTCCGAAGCGTTCTGTTCACAGGAGCTAAAAGATTTTTCCGAGTCTTATATTTCTTACCATACAACTTATCTTTTAAAACAAGAATTGTCCATTTGTCATAAATGGCCTAATCTCGGCAATAGGATGGGTTGATAAGGATGTCTTTTGCCATTACAACCCGACTTCTCTGTCTTGGGTGCGTCGTTTTTCCATTGTGAATAAAGTATGGGCGCCTTCTTTTTATCATATCTGATATGTTTAAAGTCTGAAGTAAACGATACTTTTGTGATTTAATCATTATAATATTCTTAAAATATTCAACTATATTTCTAACTTAAACTTGACGATCTTTCATAATAAATTGCTCAACTAAGGACACACCTCTTCCCCAGCTTACTTTCACTGGGCATCAGAACAAACATCATTTTTTACCATCTCCCTTCCTTCACTAAAACAATCAATCCAATTATTGATTTAACTTCTGGCAAGTCTTTTGTCTTCATAAACCTTGTACAAATTACTATATGCTACTGCAAAGGAATTTCCAAGATATACAAGTTCAAGGTCATTAAAGATCAATATCTGGTATGCACCCCACAGACAACAGTAATTAAAAACAACCAAAATCTGCATAGGAATGATAGTACTCTCTAAATGCAGAGCGTGGTTCAGTTGTTGCAAGTCTGCGGATGGGGTTTTCTTTGGCAGATACGCCTATCCAATTTATCCAATGCATTCTCAATGGGGTTTAAATCTGGCGATTTAGATGGCCAAGACAGCACAGGATGCTATGGCTTTGCAAGAATGTGTTTGTCAAACAAGCCGTTTGTGGCTATGTATTGTCAAATTAAGATACAGCTCCAGGAGGCTACATTATTGGAAAGACATGTGCAGGTAGAACGTCGCCAGAGTACCTTTGTGCCGTCATTCAAATATGAACCAAATCAGTCATATGTATACATCATTACACTATCATGACCAAATCTATCAACCTCCTGGAGGCAATTTTCTGCAAAACGTTCATTACAAAGTTTATGCAATCTGACTCTTCCAGCAGGCTTTGCGATAAAATTTTGGACTCGTAGGTAAACCAAACTGTTTAGCGGTGTTGCTGTGGCTATACTCTGTTTGTCTAATACATTTGAACTATTTATAGTGTTGGACGGTCAGAACGATGACATGAAAATGTCTGCTTTCTCTACTTCGGGCATCCGGTAATCAATCGTAAACGGTCTCGTTTGATATTCTGTGCAGTTCAGGGAGTGCTAATGCTGTGGGTGACGTCATTGTGGAACGTTTATGAAGATTGTACGTAAACCAATGAAGCGATCCCGTGCTGCTGATGTCAAGCGTACGTGGTCTGTCATATTTTTGTCAATCGTTTGCTGTACATGATGTTGGTATCTGCTTTTAGGTAAGATATGGTGCTTTGTCCAACATTAAATCCTCTTGCAGTTGTAGACTGTTGTTCACCTGCCCCCAGTTGCCATATTCCATTTTCTGATATGCATTGCTCAAATTCAGCATTTTTGAATAGCACCAATTTTCAAAAATACCAGATTCAAAAAATCAATAACTCCAGCTTTTGATAGACCTTTTGAACCTGAATGGTGTGGAACAGAAACCAACAAAAGACCAAATCTTAGCATTTTGTAAAGTCGGGTCTTTTTGTCCGAGAGTTTTGTAGAATGACTGTCAACTTTACAAAAGCGTTAAAATATAATGAATTTTACTTGAGTGAATCATACACATCTAAAAAAAAAAACTATTTTATACTATTCACCATGAAAATGGAGATAACGAACATTATTCAAGCTCAAAGTCCTTTAAAACAGTACAAATCGGGAGCAGAGCAAACACGGGCCACCAAAACATCAGAGGTGGGATCAGGTGCCTTGGAGGAGTGAGCATCCCCTGCCGGCCGGTCACACCCGCCGTGTGCTCCTTGTCACGATCGGTACATAACGGGAAAATCCGTCCACAATTCAGTATGTAAATAATGGACTAACATTTAGTATGAAAAACGTCAGTCAGCATATGACTTAATGATAGATTGTATTTGCTGACAAGGTCATTGTATCGACCATAGAACTTACGAAATGATGACTTTAAACGAGACTGTTGATATTCTTGTTTCATCAACTTGTTTTTCAATAACTTACCTCGTTTTAGGAATTGTTCATACGTAGAGCATGCTCTTGCATATCAAATCAACTGAGAAATATACACCCCTTATGCAGGTGATATGGGTATATTGCTGCATAAGTAAGGGAAGTTGGTGATAGAAAAGTTAAAGTCATCACGTTTATCATAAGGCTTTGTTGTTAGATTACCATTAACGTCTTTTTCTAGTAAAATATCCAAATATTAAACAGATGTGTCAGACTTTGTGGTATCTTTTATTTCAAGCTCACTGGGATATATCGTGTTGACATATGAATGGAAATAACTATTGTTAATTGACAATACGTCGTCAATATATCTAAATGTCGAGTTGAAGGCCACAGCAAGAGATTTCTTTTTCTCATGTATACGATTTTGAATAAATTCTCCTTCATATGAATACAAGAATAGGTCTTCTAACAACGGGACGCAATTGGTACCCATGGGATTTCCAACAGATTTTTTTAAGACCTGGTCCCCAAAAACCACATAGACATTGTCAATCAGAAACTCAAGCATCTTTTTAATATCAATTTCAGAGTACTTGTGTGTACAATCAGAATGTTTTTTAACAAAATAATTTTGCAAATGACCAATGACAAGGTAAGTAAATTTACGAGTTTCATTTTTATTGAAAAAGCAGCTGTCAATGATGTCAAAAAGCCTGGACTTTAATTTATCCTGGGGAATGGTTGTATACAGAGTTGAAAAGTCGTAAGGTTTTGGTAAAATGTGATTTCAAATTTTCCAAAAGTTCCTTGGAATTTTTGAGTATCCACACCTGATTTACACCACTTCTTGAATATATTGCTGCAAAGTACTCCTGAAGTTTCTCCTTCATTGCTGTTAATATTTTAGTGAGGAGTAAAGAAAGAGGCTTGGTAGTACGACTACCGAAACCCTCTATGTATCTTTGTTTCGGAATCCAATATAAATATGGTAATTCAAATTCATTTTGATTGTTTGGAATATTAAAAATATTCAGAACTGACATATGATTTTGAAGAATGTCCTCCTTAGAAGGGGAGCCATGGGAGGAAGTTGGGTTCCCACTTGTAGAATGCCAGTTCTTCTAAAATACAATATTATCATTCCTATTATGCATTTCATTTTTATGAATAGTATTACGAAACAGAAATATCCTTATGGACGCTAAAAGATTCTACCCAATTTTAGAACAATCGGAAAATATGGAAAGTTTAATACAACCAAATGATATTATCAATAGTCGACGACAGGCACCCAATCTTAAAAAATTGTTAACCAAGGCCCGTTTTACTACACAGGAGGAAATTCCAACCATTAAAAAATGCGGAGGTCCAAGATGCGGAACGTATACATATTTAGAAGAGGGAAATAGAATCCAACTTAAATCAGGAATGGAAATTAGAACCAATTCACCAATGAACTGTAAATCCGAAAACGTTATCTACTGTGCAATCTGTCCGACATGCAAAGAATTCTATATTGGACAAACGGGAAAACTAAATGCCCGGGTTCGTGTACACAAACAACAAATTAAAGACCCTAGTGTGCATAATACACCATGTTGTGAACATTTTGCAAAATGCGTCAAAGGAATATTTAAGATTTTCCCTTTTTATAAACTTCCCAATGAAAATGAAAATCTACGTTTGGCAAAAGAGGACTACTTTATCAAACTCTTTAAACCAAAGCTTAATCGAAAATGATACATTATTATATAACATATTGTAAGATTTTATGCATATCATGTGTTCAAGTTAATGCAATATTTGTACACTATCTAATACGGCAACTTTACGCTACCTTGATCTATTATGACGTCACAATGAACTTTTGCTTTTGGACGTTACCAGGTAACCTACCTGACATTTGTATAACTGCCTGAAAAGCCTAACATGGCGAAAGCGCTTGCAGAAAATATTTTGTGGTTTTTTGGATTTTTATTTTTAATACACCCAGCAAAGCTGGGGTAGACTTTACTTTACCGGTCCCCAGATCCGCAAGATCCGCGCGCTCATTGCACTATGACGTAAGATTTACGTCACTCAACTGATTAGGGTTGGTTTTGCACATTTTTCGACTGGTTAGGGTTAGTCTTGCACCCACCTGAAAGATTAGGGTTAGTCCTTGCATAAGTTTTCGACTGATTAGGGTTAGTCTCGCATATATCCGAGAGATTAGGGTTAGTCCTCGCACATGGGTTAGTCTAGCATGGTCTAGCATCCGCCTGGGAGATTTGGGTTAGTCCTCGCATACCATCCGAGAGATTAGGGTTAGTGTCTTGTTCTTTTAGATTAATTAAGAAATTCAGTTGCATCTGTATTTTTGCAAGATCTTAATTCAGCTTCAACGACATCTCGTTGGTTTGTTTACATGAAAAAAATGGCTAAGTACGAAAGAAACGGCACTAAGCATGCGCCGCACGCGCTTCGTTCACAATTATTTTTTGTCTCCTTTTCACTGAATAAACAACATTTATTACTTTTTTTTTCAGAAAACGAGGTTAAAAACTTCGTTTATAAACGAAGTTTTAAACTAAACTTTTAACCGTAGAATTCGAATGTGGGGTCAAAAAGGCTTAAAACCTCATATTTTTTATTTTTTTCGATCGCTCACGCGATCTCATATATATTGAAGTCGCCTACGGCGACACTAAATTTTAGCGCGTTTTTCTGGGGACCGGTAAAGTAAAGTCGTTCCCAAAGCTGTACCGGTTCTTCATTTTGTTTTTGAAATTATTATATATATATATATATATATATATATATATATATATATATTACACTATTTCATACGTAATATTTATGAGAGAATATTTTATACGTATCAGAATTGATTAGTCTTAAATCCAGGTTGGTAATTGAGATGTATGCTTGAGAAATAGCGATAATAATGAAGAAATATTGCATGATTTTATATTTTCCCAAGTATTCGATTATTGATTTCAGTATCCGACACTCGGACCTTTCGACGAGTAATCGAGTAACCGGTTACTCGTTGACAACCTGTTGTGTATGTGTGTTTGTATGTGTGGGGGGGGGGGGGGGGGCACGTATGGAACAATGGCGATGATGCCAAAGGTTTTATTTTATGCAGCCTTCTCGGAAAAATACAAAGTAACTTACCACGAAAAATAACAAACGTGTTTTCTTATTTTTATTTATTACATCAAGTATGAAGTATTTTAGTACACTGCATGAAGTATTGCAAAGATTGCTATGTTTATAAAGTGCGTAGTATACATACTGAAACGGTTTCTGTATTTATGTAGTCATGAATTACATTGTAAACAACATTTTTTATTATTTTGTTGGATCAAACTTTCTTTTAAAGTATATAGAACCACAACATATTTTACCCATTGTTCAATAAATCATAAAATACCCATTGTTTGTAATGAACGGATCTTTCCTTGTTTCTTAGCTGCCTCTGTATACTTTTGGTAGGAATGTTCTATTTCATCATAATTTTAACGAATTCTGAAAATTAAAAAAAATGGCTATCTTAGATCTGCAATTTACAATAAACCATCAAACGCCAAATCCTCACTCTTCTTGACCGTATGCCTACCTTTATAGTCTACCTTCCCGTCAGAATCTAGATCCGCCGCTGCAATCATTTCATTCACATCCTTGTCTGACATTCTTTCTCCTAAATTCATCATGGCAGTTTTCAATTCTTCCGCGTCAATCTTTCCACTCCCGTCTTTATCAAAAACTTTGAATGCCGCTTGCATTTCATCTTCGACCTCGTTTGGGTCTTTGAATTTACCAGCCATGTATTTCTCGAATTCTGCATAATCTATTTGTCCATTTTCTAAAGTAAACAGAAAATAAACGTCAAAAATTTGATATTCACATTTGTAAATTTCAATCAATTATTTTAATTATAAGAGCTTTGTATTTTATTTATACGTCAGGATTCACATAAACTGTTTTATCCTTTGTATATTTTTTGGTCACCTGAGTCACTCAGATAACCTGTTGCCTTTTTCGTCCGTCGTCGTGTTTTAACATTTGAACATTTTCAGCTTCTTCTGTGGAACTTTTTTTCAATTTCAACATATTTTGGTATATACCATCTATGGGCAAAGGGAAACAAAAATTGTAAATTTCATGGTGTTTTGTAACCTGGGGCCTGGGGGGTGGGACCAAAACGATCAAATTTAATGCAATCTTCAAAAATTTCTTTTTACTTCTGGACATTAAGCAGTCATACTGTTGGCATTATTTTAATAAACACTGAGTCTTCTACCAATATTGTGAAATTCATGGCCTCTGGGTCAGGGGTTCTGGAGTTAGGATGGGGCTCTATTAAACATATAGTGAAAATACTTTTATCTGTTTAATTTAAGAATCCTTTTCTCTCCATCTGTATATTTAGCCAACTGAGTGCTGATTGACTAAAAGAATTATAAAAGAATTTTGAATGTATGATACAAAAAGTGGTTTTATAGTTTTTAATGGTCAGTATACTTTGAAATAATAGATGAATAAAAATGATACAAAACACCTAACATGTGTACATTGCATGTTATTCAAAGATCAAGACTGGTCATTGGTAAGCGGATCCCGCAGGAGTCAACTATATGAATACCTTGTTTAAATTCATGCACAAGTACGTTACATTTGGTAATAGCTAGCACTAGGACGGATCTACTTTCTTTCTTGTTTCTGATTACCAGACTAACAATTTTGTTGATCCCTGAGGATACTATTTCCCTTGTTTATAGCAATATATCTTCATCTCCTAGTTTATTTTGTGTTATAAATTTCCATTCCATTTATCCTTAATAGCCACAAATTCATACCATAGATTCATATCCTTTGATTTAGATTGTAGTTACTAAGCTCAGCTATTATTAATACCTACAAATTTATATTGTAGATTCACATCTTTTTAAAAGTTTGGAATCAAAGCACAGTGTCACCTACATCAAATCCTTTTCTACTATAGGAAAATATGGAAAACAGGTGAGAATCTGTTAACGTTGAAATTATCGTTAAAATAAATTTATCGACGTCGAAATACAAGGTACAGCAATTTCTGATAAATTACAAAAAAAATAATTAAATAAATAAATGCAGAATATGATATAAGCTAACATGAAGTAGTTTTAAAAGGTAGTTCCGGTGACGTCACTTACTGTTTGTGTCCAGTTCGTCAATCATCGCCTGCACATCTGCGTCAGTAGGGTTCTGCTTCAGTGAATGGAGAACTGCTTTAAGTTCAGCAGAATCTATAAAGCCACTTCCATCCTTGTCAAATAGTTCAAAAGCAGCTTTAATTTCTGAAATGTAGAGATTTTATTTCATCAGTGTTACAGGGAAGCCACAATAAGGGGTCCAACTTTGACATATTTGCAAAATAAGACAAAAATCTTTCAAGTTTCCTTAAAGAACCGAAGGACTACAATTTGTTATTTTGATATATAAATATTCCAAATGAAGTGAAGATTCATTTTTTTTTTTCAAATTTTGCCCCCTGGGCGTAAGGAGGACACAAATAGAACGGGGTGGGGGGTTCAAAGTTATGCAATAGAATAAATCTTCAGAAATCTTCTTAAGAAACAATCAGACCACTGATATACTGGGACCCCATGTAGAGTGAATTCAGACTATTCAAATCATGACTCAGGGGGACAAAGTATACCCTTAAATAGAATTAGATATATTACATTGGAATATATATTGGAATTTCTTTTTAAAAAATCTTCCCAAGAAAAGCAGGGCTATAATTAGTCACATTGATTAAGAAGCATCTGCAGGTGGTAAAGATTCAGATTTGTTCATCGTCCCTGGGGCTTGGGTAGGGTCACAAAAGGAGTGTCAATTTTTTTTTTATATGTATTCCTAGAAAAGTCATCTGAAATTAGGGGTACTGTGAGCAGGGAGCTCACAAAATGACCCCCTCTCCCATATGAGTATAATGGCAAAGTCCATTTTTTGCTGTGGGAAAGCCCAAATATCTGTCCAATCAAAATATAAAGTAGGAGGTACACAATGGTTACTATGTAATAAAGATTATGTGAAAGTATCATTAAATTTTATCCATTGGTATAGGAGGAGTAATGGGTACCCCTGATATTTTAGAAAGAAAGGCAGTGTCCATTTTTTTGCTATTGGAAACTCGAAATATGTGTCCAATCAAAAAGCAAATTAAGAGGTGCACAATGGCATTATGTAATAAAGATTCTATAAAAGTACCATTAAGTTTTAATCATCATTAATTAATCAATCGGATGAGAAGTCTCCAAGATCACTTGCGGACGTTTAGTCCGTTATTATTTCACAATTTCAAAGCCTGGTGACTTAGCCTTTTGACCCATTTTTTAAAATTCATAATCAATAAGGTTTGAATCCTTTCCCCTCAAAAGTTAGAAAGTTACTGCCACAAGATTTTGTAACAGTGAGCTAGACAGTCTTACAATAGTCCAAAACCAACAGGAGGAAACAAAAGGAAAACCTACATATATTCAATATTTGCTGGGGATATGTAAAACATATGTAAGTTATATATGTCTGAATTTTTTGACAAAATTGACAAAGTTTCAAAGTAATGCTCAGCTTACGTTCGAAGCATAATTTGAGGATGTTTCTTAGGTTACAAAATTAATGGTGTACATATACTGAAATATTATATGGATTATGAAGATGTTTTGCCTTGTTCCTCATTTTCTATATTGAACATATCTATCAATTTCACCTCTGTGGTAAGTTCAGAGATTTGTTTCCTATTGTGATATTGTTTTATTAACTTATTACTTAAATAATTTGAAAATTTAATTTCATAAAATATTCAAAACACATTGCCTCTACCATAAACATGTACCGTTTTGCAGATTATACGAAGCTATAAAGAACAATTTAATAAGCTGATTTTTTTTAAATCAGCCATCGAAGAAAAACGTGGATACTAAGTATTACAGAAATACGCGGCAGTTTATGCTTTTGCTATAAATTTTAACGGTTTTGAAAAGTTATCTGCAATAGAGTTAGTTACGTATGCTTTTGTTGCAAGCTGTTCTGACAAAGTGATCTGCAATAGAGTTAGTTACATATTTTTTTTGTTTTGCAAGAGTTCTGACAAAGTGATCTGCAATAGATCTAGGTATTTATGCTTTTGTTGCAAGCGGTTCTGACAAAGTGATCTGCAATAGAGTTAGTTACGTTTGCTTTTGTTGCAAGAGTTCTGACAAAGTGATCTGCAATAGAGTTAGTTACGTGTGCTTTTGTTGCAAGAGTTCTGACGTAGTGATCTGTAATAGATGTAATGTAAATGTAATAAATGCTTTTGTTAGAAACTGTTCTGATTAAGTGATCCCTAAGAGAGTAAGTTACCTACAAAATACTAGTATCGTGTAAAGTATAACTCACCTTGTCTCTGTGAATCCGTAAGATCACCCTGGAATTAGAGGAAAGAGAACACTAGTTTTATTATTCTTTAAGAATGATAGAAAAAGTAGCAAAAACGCATATTGGTTATTACTTCCAAACTTTATAATTCAGTAATTCAGTGTACAATTTATCATCTAATCTTGGGTAACAGGTGTTCCCTGTGTTCATCTCAAAACCATTTAAAGACTCTACTCTCAGTTCGGCGTTAATTAATTTCTGTACGAGTGGGGGGGGGGGGGGGGGGGTGTAAAGTCGTGTGTGTGTATTAATGTGTGCTGTGATTCCTTGTATTTTTATAATGGTTTCGGATACCTGCAATTATAAAATGCTTATCGTCTCAATCATTGTAAATCATGGTAATGTTTAAAAAGAACTCTCAATAGAGTTATTGAATTCCTTTTCAATACGATACCCATTGTTCACAAGCTTGTTCGACGAAAAATTCACATCAATAGAAATTCAGAAAGTATTGAACGTGCAGGTTTAAATGGTTCAAAACAGCAATTATTGGCAACGGCATTGTTTAATTTCATACATGTTAACGTTCAATTGATTTGTGACTTATTAAGTTTCAGAATAAATTCACAGATAAGTCCTTCACAGTTCTTGTTTATCCGTTATTTGTGCAAGTGATCATTAGCTTATATTTTACCCTTGTATATGATCCTCAAAGATTAAATTTGAGCTCCAATACAAACACTTACATTCATATGCTGAACCAATTGAAACTTGCGCAATAATGTCGGTCTCTGTTCAAAGTTTATCACGGTATCTTCATGACAGCATTTAAATTTCTATGAGTTTAAATTACGATGTAATGTTTCTTGTATCAGATTTTTTCCTTCAATTTAACTGCATTTGTTAGCAAGAAACTATAATATCGTACAATGTGCTATTAAAATACCTCAGACTAATCAACTAACGTGCATTGTTGTCGAATTTCATATATGTTCCTGAGGGAAATCAACACAATTTTTTTTCTTGATTTATTTGATATTTAAATGTATGCATTGTTATATTTATTAGTTAATTGGCTTAAAATACAACAAACACTTACCATGTTTAATTTTGACTGTCCTAATAGCCACCAGCGAGTGTTGGATGGACTCGGTATTGTACCAACACAAACAGTGTCGATCGTAACTAAGATGTTCTATCTATACCGACGTCAGTCGATGATCACAATCCATGACATGTCCGAGAGAGAAAAAAAACATTAAAGTTTGTTTTGAAATTATGGGATTTAAATAGACAGCGCTCGAAATATCAACTATTGCTTAAGTTATCTTTTGCTGTATTGATATTGTGAAATATACTTGAAAAGCATTGATCTTAAGTCACAATACGAGTGTATTAGAAAGATTCGTGTGATTAGTATTCGATGTTTGAAGTATTCCTTTTTATTGATTGTTAATTTTAAATTGTTCTTTCTACCTTGTAATAATGAATAAGTTTTCACTTGTTTAATGAAAGTGTTACAGTTACCGCATATTTCAGTGTTTGGTCTCTAATGCATTGTCACCACAACAAATTCAAATAATTTGCAACAGCAGTTCGTGGAATCCATACTCTCTTATTTGTTATTTGGGTCTCCATAAAGAGCTGCTTTATGCTAAGGATTAAGGAAAGTCGAAATAGTTCCTTCAAACTCATTGAACTGAATACGAAAATTATCCATCTTAGCTGGTAATCCGGTAAATTGATTTTTAAGGCAGAAAAAAATCACTAGGAAGATATGGAATGCCTATTTTTGTTGCTATAGTACTGACATTTTGGACAGAAATAATGAATAAATTAAAAGCCATAAATGAACTATATTTTGCTGTTAGAAAAAAAGTATTGATTTCTTTTCTATTAGACATAATTCTAATTAATTTTACATTAAAAGTTTATGATGTCCATATGCGAAGGCGATTAATATATAGGCTAACCCCTTGAGCATTTAGAATTGTTTTTGAAATCTGGAAAATAGTTGAAGATAAACCCCTCTGTGTTTTCCCCATTTTTTGAATCACTTTTCACCTCTAAATGAAATAGGAGAAATTCTGCAATTCATGAAATCGTAATCATTACACTCTACTTGGTTTCAATAACCAATCCTTAGAATGTATTCCATGTAGGTTATCAACTTCGGGTATGATTTCTAACATTAGGAACACATATCTGCATACCACTGTGACAAAGTTGTCAAAGAGATTTAATAAGAGAAGAAATTATACAATGGAAACAAAGCACTTCACCAAAAACATAGGGAAAGCATTGAAGAAATACAAGATGACAGGAATATCAATAAATATACTCAAAAAGTATGAAAGTATCAAAGGAGAGAGTAATGGATTATTTTATGTATCCAAAACAAAGACTGGAATATGACGATTTTGACCATCTTGTTTCAGATCTGAAAGTGTTAACTTTAAAGCTACTAAAAGGTGGAGACAACGAACAGTGCTCAACCTCAGAAATCCTACAAACAATACAAATCTGTGAATAGGGCATAAAACACGGGCCCCCGGAAATTACAGAGGTGGGATCAGGTGCCTAGGAGGAGTAACCATCCCCTGTCGACCGGTCACACCCACCGTGACCCATATGTATTTACCAGGTAGACGGATTAATCCGTAGTCAAGTTAAGTATAAAAACAAAGGCCTTGCATTTTATTTAATTAAAAAATTACTTTACACGAGGTTGTTGAAATCCCTATAACATCAACTTATTTGTCAATAGCCTGTCTCGGTTTAAACTTTTGATCGTACTTAGAGCATGCTCTTGAATATCGAATAAGTTGGGAGACATAAACACCATATGTTAGTGGAATATTATTAAATAAGTAAGGGAAGTTGACGATGGAAAAGATGAAGTAGTCTCGTTTGTCATACAGTTTAGTTGTTCGCCCTTA